ATATTTGTTAGATTTTCAAGGTGAGCACTGATGGTCTAGATAATCGCGTTCCCTCCACTCAGAGGCCCTAGCCTTCTGGTCGAAATGCGCAGCCCGTCCCATCATCATCGCATAATTTCACAGCTACGCATCACTAGCCCCAGCGGGATCCACGCAGGAGTGCACCAATAATATCCTAAAGGAGTCACGCAGCCCACCCGCCCGTCCTGAGACTTATCTAAGGCCTCTTCGGCGCTTGGCCAGATTTCCCTGGACACAGTCCAGTTCGGCCTTATCTCGTTCCCGTCAACCTCACTTTTACATGCTGCCATGGGCCTTCTTTGATAAACAACCTGGCTGTATCTTCTTTATAGATCGATTACTGCATAGGGTTGTCGTGATAATTGATTGACTAGACGATTGAAATGGCTATGCCAAACTTATGCTACTGAAAATCTGATCCTGACACTCCGACGGACAGCCATGTGGATTCAGTCTTAAATTTGTACTGGCTCGCTCTCGATGCCCACCAGCACTCCGCTTATCGATACCACATTGACTCGAGGAGACTGATAAATTTGGACGATGTCACAAACTACCGGGCATGTTCCTCAGACTCGGAATTCAGGATGGCTACCTCAGACTTTGCGTCGTCGGTACTTGTTCCCCTTGGCTGGCCTAATGGCGGCCATGGTGATTGTCACAGAAGTCCTTCGGCAGTGGGGTAACGACACAGGTGGACTTGATGTGTTCACTGACTCTGATGAGATCACCATTGCCCGAAAGTTCATCTTCACCTATGTCCCGAGCATCTTGGGCATGGTTGTGGCCATTCTATGGTCTGTCGTTGAGTATGATGCTCTTCGTCTGGAGCCATACTTTCAACTTTCCAAGCCAAACGGAGTGTCGGCCGAGGTACTTTTGCTAAATTATGAGTTTGGTCATTTCACCACCGCCCCATTCTTTGCATTTAGGAATCGACACTGGATGGCAGTTTTCATCTCGATCTTGAGTGTCCTCTTGCAATTGGTCTTTCCCACACTTCAAAGCAGTCTCTTCAGAATGGATGATGCCACAGTCTATAAGAGTCAACATCTCGAGATCTGGCCGGAGTTGATCGATATGGAAGGGCAAGCATCCGTGTCATACAACTCAACAGTGAACCACACAGCCTCTCGGGATCACCGTTATCTGACTTACGATGAACCAGATTCGAATAAGTATGCAATGGCGCCAGTAAATATCCCCTGGGATATTCAGTATGACACGACGATGTGGGAACTCACCCAGTCTGTCTACTGGGCAGAGCTGGATTGTATTGATTTGAAAGTGAAGGATGATTTGGTCATCGATGTCTTGACGAATCAAACCAGCTCAGAGGCAGCTTCGCCATATGATCGATCGGCCGTATGGGATATGAGCGTTGCATCATCAACTTCAGAAAACTGCTCGATGCATTTGAGTGAAGCAATTTCCATACCAGCCACAAATGGTTCATTCCAGATATCGCATTGGCAGCCAGTCTTAAGTACATCAAGTCTCGATGATGCGTGCGCTGCTATTGACCTTGTGGGCGTCGTTCTTCAAGTCAGCTTGAACCAAACCAGCCAGAATGTAAGCAGCAATCGGTCGAATTCACAGGGCTCTGATTTTACGCATAATGTCAGTGGCTTTGGCTGCCAGATTGTCTACCGGACCTCGGAGGCCAGCATTTCACTCCAGGCTAATGGATCATTATCCGTCACCGCATTGCATTCAGATACTATGAGCAATGTTTCTGGGGTATCCTTGAATACGACTCATTTCAAAAACCTTATCTTGTCAGAAGTACTTGCAAACAATGGCACCTCATTTTGGAATAGGGAATTGGTCGGACTGTCTGCTTCTCAAGATACTCTAATCTCGACGCTCAACCGAGGCATCCAGAAAGCCTTTGTACCATTGATGAACCGGATCTTCGACGTCTGCGCCCAATCCAATTATGTCCAGGCGTCTCATGTGACGCATCAAATGGCCATAATGGTTGGACCGTGGCAGTCCCTCATGTCTGAGGCGATCCTTGCGCTGAGCGTGATAGTGATCTTATACCTAGCCTACGCTTACCCACGCCGCCCAAACCTGCTTCGAGGCGATCCTGCATCTATTGCGTCGATGTGCGGCATCATGGCAGACATTATCGATATCTCGCATATCTCGCATATGAATCTTGATGAACTGTCGACAAGGCAGTTAAGATCTATCCTTCAGAATTACAATTGCCGCTGGCAACAGGAGAGAGAACCTCCCTGTATCTGCATCGAGCCATCGCATGGTATGCCATGATTTCCACATTGTCAAAAAAATGGTACTGACTTCGAATAGTGCCTCGCTCCCCGGGAAGAGCTGCAAAAGCCCGGTCTGATCCACGACCTCATTTCCTCCTGATCCCGATTTTTGGACTTGAAATTTTCATCTTCGCTGTGGCAGTTGCTGGTCTTGCAACTGTGATCGCATTGTGTGTGAAAGATGGCTATGTTATTCCGTTGACCTTCGTCAGCTCAAGCAGCATAGGGGTTCTATTTTCCCTGGTTCCATCATCAATCGTGTCTATCATACGTGCGATTTGCCTCTCAATATACCGTTACCTGAGCGTTCTGGAACCATGGGCAGTCCTTCAGACGGGAGGAGCATCTGCTGCCTCATCTCTACTGCTTGAGTATGGGTCATTGAACCCATTTGCCTCACTTTTCAATTGGTTCAACTATAATCATATCCTGCTCGGGCTTGTGGGCGTGGCATGCATTGTCAACACCGGACTCAGTATTCTAGTCAACGGATTGTTTCATCATGACCTTGGCCCGACAACCGCGGATACTGAAATGAAGACCTGGTATAGCTATGAGTCATTCGCCATCAGACAACCATCATCGGTGCTTCCAGAACTCGATACTATGCGGACGAGTATTTATAGTGGCTCCTCTCTGCTACCATGGACAACTTCCAGCCACTCCTTTCTTCCCGCTTGGACCGACAACTCTTCGGATTGGCTTATCGGTGGCTCTTTGCGGGGTGTGGGTGCCGACATACTCTGCCGAGGGCTATCGGTTGCGGATAACTTCACCCAAGACCCCGGCTCCAATGTTGGCCGTTGGAGGTATTCTCCATTCAACGAATCCAGTATAACATGCGAAATAAGCGCAATACGGCATACAACCAACGTGGAGGATGTCAGTATGTTGGTCAATTTTTTCGCCTCAACACCTACCGAAGCAGCTGAAGGTTGCCATAAGCCAACTATATTGGTGGTGGCCCAGCCAAGCGACAGCGACCATACCCAGATAACTAGTGCCAACACGGTCGCGATGATTTGCGAATCGTTCATCGTCATGCAGAATTTTTCAGCGGCCTGGAATTCGCAAGGCTTCATACAGAATCACATACCACTTAATGACACCACCATTGCCGATGGTCCGATGTTACAGAACGGCACCTCAAATCTGAACAATTACAACCACAGACTATCTAGCCCTGTCCTCACAAACGGCTCGTTCCAGGAACAAAATACTTCTACTCAGGTTGATTATTTCGGCAGCCTGACAGTGAGTCTTTACGAATTGATGAACTCCAATACGTCAGACATTGACGTCGGTGTACTCAAAACTGCTGCCCGCTCGGTCTACCGGTCCATGTTTGCTACCGATCTCTCCCTCAAGAGAGACGCTTATTTTCGTCACCTCAAAACCCCCGCCGGCATCAAGGATGGCATCATATACCATATTTCCTGGGCGGTTTACCCATCTGTCCTGTCATTCATCTGTGTCATGCTAATAGTCGTATTTGACGCGTGTATTGTGGCATCAGTCTTCATTACTAGACGGTATCGATTCCGGTTCCCACGGATCCCACGATCTATCGGCTCCATCATGCCTTGGATCACTCAGAGCGGGATCTTGGATGATTTCAAGGGCACATATGCATGGAGCGACGATGAACGACGAAAGCACTTTGCGGATCTCGACAAGAGGTATAAGCTTGATAGACTGGAGACGCCGGATGGAAAGTGGAAATACATCTTGGACGAAGACAGAACGGTGGGCCGCGACAATGAATCCGTCATAGACGAGGAGCCAAGACAGAAAAGTACATCGAGAATCCAGCTTCGGGTGTTTTTTAGGCGGACAACTTCCGAATCCTCTGGTGAAGATCAACATGGCTAATGGAGTCGGTTGTTCGTCATGAATGTGCGTCTACATGGGCTTTCAACCCAATATAATGCCATCCGAGCAGGCTTACTTCACCTCTACAAGTAACTAACCTGTTAGTGGATGAACGTGACTCCTGGACGACACACCGACCTCCCATCCTAGGATCAGCAACCATCACTCGCTGAAGCCAGTGGGAAAAATGCCCGAGTACACAACAGGATAGTGAAAAGGGAAGCAGGAATCCTTTATACAGCTATGGATATACATGATGCCGTCCTCCCATACCACGGTGCATGGGACTGTCCGTTCGATGCAAAAACACAGACTTGATAAATGCTACCTTGGAATGAAATAGAGATTTCACAAGGCCCCAGGATATCTCTAGCTCAGCAAGACGAGCTAATTCTGTGCGTTGTGCGGGATAGTGGCAACAATCATGCTGGCATATTAGAGTTTGATTATGCGTTGGATTTCTATGGGAAGGACAAGTGATGGTTCACGGAAGCCAACCATCACATGGAAAGGTGTGATATTGATGTGCCCATTTATGCAGGTGTAACAGCACTGAGCAACCACCCCCAAAGTTTCTGGGACCGAAGCCAATTTTATTCGTTGTTTGTGCTTCTGCAGAGTTGACTTCCATCCCATGTCCCGTATGAATCTCGGGAATTCAACTGGTTGATCTGGGGACTTCGCGGAGTCGATTCCCGAATAGGTACCTTGCACGGACCGTCATCGGCGGTCACACCATAAGTTGCTTTGGTGGTAGGGATTTATCTTTTCATAGCCCGCATTTTCTGGCTAGTGCGTGATGGAGGAGTGGTTGTGTGCTTGGTGGTGCAGTTGCTGGGCGCTTAGAGTGTGATGAGCGGCGGCGATTGGCCCCGCCTCCACCTTGCCTCCCCCTCACGCCTGAAGCCTCTTTCTCTCTATCTCTACCCTCCCCTGATGGTTGACTGAAGGCCATCGACCAGCTATATAGCCGCTCAGCAGTCGCCTGCATTCGAACCCTTTCTCTTTCCTGACACGCTGTCTGTTTGAGGTTGTGCAGTTTTTCTTCCTGTTCTATTTTTGTCTTTGTCTAGTTCGTTTGGCTGGCCCAAGCAAGCTATTTGTTTTCTTCGCTTCTTCTCCATTGACGTCAATAAATAATAATAGTATCATTCACACGCCTGCTTTAGTGGACACTTTGTTGATCAAAGTTCTGCTGCCAATCGGTTCACTGCACTCATCGTATTGAATTTTCAGAGCATCCTTTACATCTATCGCACGAACATCACCACCTTCTATCCCTCGTCTATCAATTGTTGTTCAAGATGTACGCCCGGCCTAAGCTTTCGTTGAGCATCTCTGCGGCGCAAAATGCCTCTCGTTCGTCGTTTCCCCTCAAGTCGCCTGGTGCTGTTCCCCGAACGCCAATCTCCCCAGCGAGTCCAAGTGCAAAGCGATTCTCGACCTTACAGCTGCCGTCCTTCGGCTACAACAACTCCTGCACCTCCAAAAGCATTCTTAAAAAACACTCCGCGCCAGGGGCCCCAAGTGCTTCGGACAAACGGATTCAGTTCAAGGGCACTCCGACTGTTCATTGTGTGACGCCCATTGAGAATCCAGAGGAGTATTACGGCACCTACACCAAATTGTCGCGGGAGGAACGACGCTGGGTCGTACGAGATTGAACTGGACACGATTCCAACTGGGCTTCCCGAGCTTCTAGACGAATGGTACAGTGGTGAGCACACCGACAAGAAATGTTCACCAAGAAGGGTCAGGGCGAGGTCAAAGCTTTGGCTTCGACCTTGCGCACAACTTGCCCATACCCAACCCCGACACCACTTTGACATGCCGATTTTGTACATCAAGGACGAGGGTGGGTCTTGGCGTTGATCTGAGGTCATTTTGTGGGCGTCAGATCTCAGGACCGGTAGGGTATATGAGTTTGATGCTTCCTGAAAGAGAGAGTTGAAGTGCATTCTCTCGGCGTGTATGACTTCTGTTATGATTATGACGTGATGATATGATTTGGCGTCCAATTACTTAGCATACGGGCATATCCTGGAGTATTCCAATGACATTCGTTTGAGCTCACTACGTCCTTGCCTTTCAAGTATGGATTTAAATTTGTTTTGACCACAATTAGGAGAATGGTTCCTATTGCTACTGACCGCCAGACATGTTTCCTTTCCGGTCCCGTTAGGGCAGCATTTCAGGGCTCATGTGGCCCGTGCGAGGAAACCTCCGGGCCGCTTCTTTCGCCGCCGACGGGCGATAGAATCTTGTCTTGTCCTATGCGCCGCTCACAAGTCCCCTCTATGTCAATACTCTCCAGATTATCTCCTTTCGCGTTACGGCGAAGCGTGGGAGTCGCTGCGAGGGGCTGTTCTCTGCCCCGTGCTCGTGGGTTGCTCACTCTCGCCATCGAGACGTCCTGGTTCGTTCAAGGTCCCTTGCATACTGCATTGCATGAAGTACAGTAATCTGACAAAAGCTCTTCATGTAGCGATGACACCTCGGTTGCGATAGTCGAAAAGAAGGAAGGCTACGCGAAAATCCACTTTCACGAGAAAGTAACATGCGACTCCACGGCTTACAAGGGCATTCATCCGGTTGTCGCGCTCGAGTCGCATCAAGAAAACCTCGCGAAGCTCGTCAACAAGGCGCTCACCAGTTTACCACCTGCTCCCTCCTCCGATACCCCCCTTCACAAGCTTGTTACACTGTCAAATGACAACGAACCGCGACGCAAACCGGACATCGTGTGTGCTACGCGGGGCCCAGGCATGAGGACCAATGTCTTGGTTGGGTTGGATACGGGGAAGGCACTTTCCGTGGCATGGCAGGTTCCATTCATCGGTGTGCATCACATGCAGGCTCATCTGGTGACACCGCACCTTCAATACTTCCTGGATCAGAGCCCGGAAAACGGCCCAGAGCACGCCAGCTCTCATCATGACGGTGGAATACCTGAACAGGCCAAGCCTGCGTTCCCATTCATCTCCATCCTCGCCTCGGGAGGCCACACGATGCTGGTGAAATCCACCTCGCTCACGAATCACGAGATCCTGGCCTCGACGCTGGACATCGCGGTCGGGTCCGCGCTCGACAAAGCGGCGCGGCTGATTCTGCCCGACTCGGTCATCGCGACGTCCAAGCACTCCGTGTACGCCAAAGCGCTGGAGCAGTATGCGTTCCCCAACGGCCGCGCCGACCACGCCGACTACCGCGCGCCGGCGACCCGGCGCGACGAGGTCCAGGCCCCCGAACCGAACGAGTGGGGCTGGTCCTTCACGACGCCCTTCGCCAACACCCGTGATCTGGCGTTTAGCTTCACCTCCATCGAACCGACCGTCGAGCGACTGATCAGGCGGAAGGAGGAGGCCGGCGAGCGGTGGGCGGACGGCGAGCGGGAGGCCCTGGCCCGCGCAGCCATGCGCACTAGCTTCGAGCACATCGCCTCGCGCCTGATCATCGCGCTCGAAGACAAGCCCCACGAGACGCCCATCCAGTCGCTAGTCATCAGCGGCGGCGTCGCGGCGAACCAGTTCCTAAAGACCGTGCTCCGGGCGTTCCTGGACGTGCGCGGCTTCGAAAACATCGAGCTCTACGCCCCGCCGCCGTATCTGTGCACGGACAATGCGGCGATGATCGCGTGGGCGGGTATGGAGATGTACGAGGCCGGCTGGCGCACGGATCTCTCGGTTCATGCGCTCAGGAAGTGGTCTCTTGCTGACAATTCTAATGCGCAGGATGGAGGCTTCTGGGGACCCGGCGGGTGGATCAAGGAGGAATTCAAGGAGTAAAATGATAGGGGTGTATTCGTGAGTATCACGCTTGCACTATTGTACACTAGTCATGGCCATTGTATATTACAAGTCTTTCAGCTCCCTGCTCGGAGCTTATGTAGGTATAATGAGAACTAGGGGTTTCCGTCACTACGGCTGATCGTGAATCATCACGATTCCAGAGCGTTGACAATGACCATGGAAATAGAGGGCATTGCATAATATGGATGAATGTGGTTGTGAGTGATTCAGCTGGAATGCATTGCCTGGTTTCATAACAGAACTAATGCTTTTTCCCGTTTCCTACAGGCCTTGCATGCGGCATCATCGAAATGATCGTTTGCCAGGCCGCTGTTCAATCCCGGCTTGCAAGCTTTCTTTTTTCTCCAAACCGGTAGAGTCTCAACGACGCGCCAAGTCATCTCGCGCAGTGGCCAGAGAGTAGTTAGGCGCTTTCTCCTCACATATAGGCATGAAAAGCAGGATTCGAGTTTCTTCTCCCAGCTTATAATGTGAAACCACCGTCCCTTGGTGTAATTTAAGCATTCAATAGCTTTTTATACAGCGGGCGTACCCTGTGGCCTGCCCCCCGAGTAACAGGATTTCTCCTAGGTGAAGCGAATTGAGAGAAAAAAAACAATCATCCACCTGCAACAGGATTGCCCTGTCGGAGAGCCGTCACTTGTTTCCGAAGCTCGAGGAAGAAATCCTTGCCGTTGGCCATTTGATTCGCTGTTTGTTTTGGTTCATGTATTAGACAAATTCGTCAAAAATAACCGCATGTTCTTGCGGGGCTGATAGTTGTATTCTGCGCGGGTGAGAGTGGTATTTATAACGTACGTTTAGCACCCCAGGGTCCGCTAGCCCGGTTGTTCGTGTCCTTGCCTTGCGGTTTATAGAAGAACGGTCTCGGTTCTGGGACGATGTGCACGGGTTAGTCTCTCGTTTGTTTAAACTCCGGACATGGGTTCCGTGTGCATTGTTTCTAGTGACGGGGTTCGTACCTCCGGGTCCTGCGGAGTCAAGAAAACAGTTTGTCAGCTATAGCACTCTCGACGAGCTACTGGACGTGGGAGACCATTCTCAGTGAGATCCAACATACCTCTTCTGAGAGCCGCCTTCGACTCTGTAGCATTGAAGTTCCGCACGGGGACGTGCTGTTCCTGCCGAGGTCCCGAGGGAGGAGGAGGAGGAGGCTGTTCGCGCGAGGAATCGTTCCATGTGTTCGGCCCTCCTCGAGAGCTGCCATGGGCGCTCATTGTTCGGGAGGAGGAATGTCTCTGCGCGGCGTGGCGGTTCTGCTCGTACGGGCGACCTCCGCGCCAGGTACTGCTACAATGAGCCGGATGGGTCAGCCACCAGGAATGCTGCTGGCACGAGGGGCAGGGAGAGTGGTTATTGGGGAAGCTGCTTTTGGGGGGAGGACAGGGAAATTAAGACATGCATAGAGAGAACTAGAACATACCGCTCTTCGCCGGGACCACTCATGCTTGTCTCCAATCGATCACCGATCACGATCAGTTAGGAGTTTTTTGTCTTCCAGCACGGGGTAAACCGTGTAGAATTGTGGTGGTTTATTGTGAGAGGAAGATGGAAAGACGGGGAGCTGGAGGGGACCGTGGACGGGCGGCGGAGATTCCCCTGCGCGGGAGAGGGAGGCGGGTCTGTCTCTCCGCCTTTGGCTTGATAAGCCCGGAGTGACATTCATTCACTCTCCAGCCCGTCCGTTGCTGTTCGCCGGCTTGTCTCTTTCGCGGTCCTCCTCGTCGTCGCGCGTCTTCCCCTCGCTTGTCGCCCTCCCATCCCAACGTGCTTACAAGTCGGAACTCCTTTCTTCGATGAGTCATGCTATACTTATTTGGCTTATTTGATGTGGTGATAATTCGTCTTACGGCGCGGTCTACTTGGTTGTGATTCCTACGACAATTCCCTTCTGCCCTCCCCCCCCCCCCCCTCCTCTCTCAAAACACCCACACACGGTGAGGCTGAGCGGCGAGCTCGGGCGAGGGTCCATCAACAAATAACCACACGCCGCTTTCATCCGATCTCACAAATTCCTACCGAACAAAGAATATGGCGCCGCTCTCGTCGTCAAAATATCGTTCCTCGCCGGGTAGATCGTCCAGAAACCAGACCAAGGTCACCCTAAAGGCATCTCGGAGCTCAGATCCGAGCACTTCGGAAGGCCCACCCCTCAAGAAACGGAAGTATATTCCAGGTGGTCCCGGTGGAGGAGGGCGGTATATCGAACTAGAAGTGAAGGAGCCAGCTTCGAGACAACCAAAGTCCGGTCCAGCAGCTCGACGCAATTCCTCGAGCTCCCGCAGTCGCCCTGCTCCTGCTCCAGCTCCAGCTCCAGAACCCGAGCCTCCTCAGCCCGTACAGTTACCGCCTCCGCCTCCTCCTCTTCCTCCGCCACCTCCTGTACCATCCACGCCGCCTTCTGCGCGTCTGACACGAGAAAAGAGCCAGAACCGTGGCCGCTTCGGCTCATCGACCGCGGCTGCCCTTGCGCTACAACAAGGAGATGGGTACAAACCACGCGAGGAACGGGGCTGGGAGGAGTTCCATCCGGACCTGGACATCGACACCAAGTTCACGATTTTCAGTGCAGAAGAGGTGGATAGGCCTCCACCGTCGGCTTCGATAGCTCACATCCTATCGCCCAACGGCCTGGATAACAGTAGCGACAAGGATCCGATCGCAGAGCTCATTCGAGCGCACGCCAGTGGCAATTCGCCGACGCCAATCAAGCGCCGCCCTGGCCGCCCTCCTCGTCGCCCCGAAGCTATCCTCCATGCTCTGGGTATCTCGCCGCAACCGAAACCTGTTCCTCCTCCCGGTCCCAATCCACGCGAAAGGCTGACCCTCCCGAAGCCCGCGTTCCGACTGCGGGATCCGTTCACCTTCTATGACCAACCTGGTGTCGGTCAGCAAAACTATGTCGACCGTACCATGGCTAGCGTTGGCTATCAGGAGAGCGACCTGTTCTTGCGGCATGACCGGCGGTTGGTTCGTATGTCAGAGTGTGCGCAGGAAGATGATCTAGATCTGACCAACCTTGTTGCCTCAGAGGGGGAGGTCAATGCGGCTGTTGGTCGGGTGGAGTATGACATGGACGAACAGGATGAGAAGTGGCTGGAAGACTACAACGCGAAAAGGAGGGAAGATCAACTGGAGCCAATAAAACCGGCGGTCTTTGAAATCACCATGACCAAGATCGAAAGAGAGTGGTATGCCCTGGAGAAGCGTATTCCAAAACCAAACCCGAAACCCCCGCAAACGCAGCGCCCCCGTTCGAGCTCTGCCGCCGCGGTCAATGGTGAAACTGCCCCCGGCGAAGAGCAGGACAGCAAATGTGCCATTTGTGATGACGGCGACTGCGAGAACTCGAATGCGATTGTGTTCTGCGATGGATGCGACCTAGCGGTTCACCAAGAATGCTACGGCGTTCCTTTTATTCCCGAAGGGCAATGGCTTTGCCGCAAGTGTCAACTCATAGGTCGGGGATCCGTTAACTGCATTTTCTGTCCGAACACCGAGGGCGCCTTCAAACAGACTACTTCCTCGAAATGGTCCCATCTTCTGTGTGCTATCTGGATCCCAGAAGTCTCGATCGGTAACCCATCTTTGATGGAGCCGATTACTGACGTCGAAAAAGTGCCGCGAAGCCGCTGGAAACTCAATTGCTATATCTGTCGTCAGAGGATGGGTGCATCTATCCAGTGTAGCAACAAGAACTGTTTTGTGGCGTTCCACGTCACGTGCGCCCGACGAGCCCAGCTCTATCTGAAAATGAAGTCAGGTCATGGAACCCCGGCCGTGATGGACTCCCATCTCCTCAAGGCCTTCTGTGATAAGCATGTTCCGCCTGAATGGCGAAGGGAGCATGGTACCGATGCTGCCACGGCGGATGCGATCGAGTACTACCGGAATACCATGCAGGGTCGCCGCTGGGGAGACAGCCAGGCAGCGGCGCTCTCGTTGGAACCAGTCCACTCCCATATTGGAGAGCATGGAGAGGACGACGCGCACCGGACACATACACCACGTATTACTCTTACTGTCGGTGGCAACAAGCGTAAGCGAATGACTGCACCTAAAACGATCTGGAAGCTACCGTCCGGAGCTCCGGTGATTCCTCAGGTCGTCCTGAACTCGGTCGGCGCTTCGCTCCAACGGTTTGGAGTACGGCAGCGAAAGCAGTTTGCTGAAGATGCCTGCAAGTACTGGACCCTCAAACGCGAAGCGAGACGAGGTGCTGCGCTTCTGAAACGGCTGCAGCTGCAGTTGGAGACCTTCTCATCGATGGAGATGACCAGGAGAGATTATGTTGCGATGGGGGTGACCGGCAGCAAGCGACTTCAGCGGCGCATCGATTTCGGCCAGAGGCTTAGCTACGATCTGGATAAATTGAGGACGCTGTGCGACGAAGTCAGAAGGCGAGAGCAGGAAAAGCTGAAAGACGTGGAAACTCTACGCAGTATCGTAGACACCGTCTACTTCCCTATTTTCCCTTTGCTCTGGCCTATCTTCGAAAAGGCTCAAGGGTAAGCAGCTGTGCTGGCTATATTATCTATTTCCTCTTTTGCTAATGTCCTTCGCAGGCTTGACGGGAAAGGTATCTTCAAGAACGGACTGTCGTCCATCCGTGCAAAGCTCCAAGAACGCTACTACTCGTCGGTGGCATCTTTCTCTGCCGACCTTGCCCGGGAATTCACCACGGAGATTGGTGTGCAACCAGCTGGGGACACTGCAGAGCTACAGATGCAGATCAGCGGCCGTGCCCCCGAACTCAGTCTCGAACAACGTGAGAAGAGAAAATTGGCTAAGCGCATTATAAAAGCTATTCAACCGGCACTGGAAGATGCTATCAGGAAAGAGAGCGAACTGAACCGCAAGCCTTTCGAGCAAGAATTGAAGGAGCTTGATCTCATGCTAGAAAATAGCGTCATGTCCCGGCGAGGGTCTGAGGTCGACTCTACAGAGCAGTGCGCAACCGACAAAGCAGATCAACCTCAAGATCTGAGTCAAATCGTGGAGCCAAGGGTTGAATATATTACTGCTAAGATGGAGATCGATGAAGGGACCGACATCGCCGCGGTACCTGAAAAGGCCGACGCAGCTGTCGAGCCCAATGCAGAAGTGCCGCCGCCTGCTGAAGAGTCTACTGAACCATCTGCCCCGCCAGTGGCCGACTCAGGATCCACGTCTACCACTGCGGTGCCGGAAACAGAGACCCAGACCGTTGAGGATGCACCAACAACTTCACAACCTACCATGGAAGGAGTTGAGCCAGCTGTGAATGGATCGGTCGAGAAGACCGACCTAGACAGCTCGAAACGAGAAAGCCCACCGTCCGACGCTCAGAGACAGTCTCACACCCCGCCCCACAGCTTTACAGGCGACCAGCAACATCCCTTGTCGCAGGGAGGCATCCAATGGTATATGCAACCCTTTGATCCTGTAGGGACCACCATCCATGAGGAGCGCTGGACGGGACGGGACGTTATGCGGGGAATGAGTGAGGAATTAAGCGAACTAGATGAGGATGAACTGAAAGATCTGGTAGAGGAGGATGAGCTAGAAGGACAAGTGGCCAGCTCATCGCTGGAGACTTCGGATGGAAAGGGTGCTCCTCCCCAGCAACATGTAAAGACTCATCGGACGCGACGACGCTGGCGTGGGTTTAAGTAAGAAAGAGCAAGGCAAGATGGGGATAATTGTCTGATGTGGACTGTTTCTTTGTTCCTTCCTCTTTACATCGCCATTTGTTCGCCTCTATTTGTTTTCGTGTGTTTGCTTTTTCTTTTTCTTTTTTTGTCGACAGTTGTTTAGCCAACTGGAAGGGATGGGCGTTAAGGCATGCCTTCATGGCCATGGGGGAATGGCATTTTTGGGCCGTAGATCGCCAACATCGCGTAATGAATGGGCGTTAAGTGCATGGATATTCTAATTGAATGAAATCTTTGGTGACCTATCTGTGGATTGTGAAAATTGTGAATGGATTTCGTTTGTTTGCTTGCTTGCGCTGAAATTAGTAGGTGTAAAGCACACGGAGCAGAGGAGGTGAATTGAAAGATTGGCTTGGCACAGAGCCGCTGGCGGGCCAGACTGGATGGAGACGAACCTGTCTCTCTCTCTCTCTCTCAGCTTTCTCTCTCTCTCTCTTCTCTCTTCTCTCTTTCCCGGTTTCCTCCCCCTTCTTTCATCATCATCACTTCGGGAATTCCTTTCCATCCTCCTTCCTTCTCCCTTTCTTCCCTTTTCCCTTTCCTCACTCCCAGTTCTTTCCACGGATCCCAGAAACAAACTCATTTTTTTGAGTTTCTTCTCTGCCCGTGTGTGAACGCAATCGTAATCGGTCGTTGAATTTTTCAGCTGCCCATTTCTAATTCTCAGCGTCGCGCGCGCTCTCCTCGACCCATTCAACCTCTGTCGATTCTTCTTTCTGTTTCTTCACGAAAACCATCATCATGGCTACAGAGTACGATCACGAGAACGGTCGCTACGACGGTATGTCAAAGCTATCGCCTTCACAGCCCGGGCTGCTGATTGTCCGGGTAACTACGCAATAACACGGCTAATCCGCGATGCTGGTTTTTCTCTTCGCAACTGAATAGACGAACCTCGCTTCACCCGCGACCGCAGCGCATCTCCTCGCGATGAGCCGCGCGGCGACCGCACCCGCAGCCGTTCTCCCAACGGACGCGTCGATGACCGGTACGTTACCCCAGAAAAGAGCTTCCAGGAAGCAGCATCATCGTCACCCACGGGTGGCGATATCCCCCCATGGGCAACCAGCTGACCTTGAGACCATCACATGTTTAGCCCCCCTGTTGATACCCGCAAGCCTCCTTTGGATGACGATGAAGAGGGCGCCCTCAACACTGGATCTAACCTCTTCGTCACCGGCATCCACCCCCGTCTGACCGAGTCGGACATTTCGCGTCTCTTCGAGAAGTATGGTGACGTCGAGAACTGCTCGATCATGGTCGACCCTCACACCAAGGAGTCTCGTGGCTTCGGCTTCGTCAAGATGGTCACCGCCGAGCAGGCTGATGCCGCCAAGGAGGGTCTCCAGGGTGAGGTCATTGAGGGACGTACCCTGAGCATCGAGAAGGCTCGTCGTAGCCGTCCCAGAACCCCCACTCCTGGCAAATACTTCGGTCCCCCCAAGCGTGGTATGCTTCGAATTTCCTTACCCCACGTGTGAACGAAACAATCATCTAATACTGACTACAGAAGACTTCCGTGGAGGTCCCCGTGGTCGTGGTGACCGCTATGATGACCGCCGTGGTGGTGGCTACGGTGGCAGCTGGCGTCGTGGCGGCGACGATTACCGCTATGGCCGCTATGATTCCTACAGTGACCGCCGCGAGTACGGCGGTGGTCGTGATTACCGCGACTACGGTCGCCGTGAGTACCGTGATGACTATGGTTACCGCGGTGGTGGTGGCGGTGGCGGTGGTGGCATCGACCGTTATGCTTCTGGCGGCGGTCGCGAGGACCGTTACAGCCGCGATGAGCGCCGCGGTGGTGAGGAGCGTCGTGGCGGTGGTGGCGGCGGCGGTGGTGGTGAGGATCGCCGTGGTTACTACGATCGCGATGCCAACCCTCCCAGCTATGGATCCGCTCCCCCTGCTCGTGAGCCCTATGCCGGTGGTGGTGGCAGCGGTGGTGGTGGTGGCAGCGGCAGCGGTGGTCGCTCCTACGAACCCCGTGGCGGCGATGACCGTTACAGCACCAGGTAGGTGGACTGATCAGACATGGGTGGTTGAATCGAGGTCATGCCACGTTCTCCCTCCCAGGCCTATCTAGGTCTTCTTCCTCGTTTCCTTTCACTCTTTGCCTCTTTACACCTTATCACACCCCTTGTTTCAATTCACCACCCTTGTCACTTCCCACTGTTCTTTGGAATGGTCCCCCGCTTTTTTCTTTTAATACCCCTGGATGAATGGAAATGGGCTCGAAGGGCCACGATAGGGACGTCTCTGTGTTGTCTTATGCCAGGAAAGCAAGCCAAGCCAAGGGAATCATCATCACATTCACATGTCAGCCTCGGGCGAATTCGGAGCGCCATCGAACTCTCGGCCTATTCGACCGTCAGTCTACGCGTGTGAAGAAAAAAGTTGAGAGAAAGACCAGAAAATCATTCTCGTGGACAGCAAGAAAAGAATTCTCTGTGGTTTCGTCGCTCCTCGGTCACACCTACTGATGTTTTCTTTTGTTAATTCGCTCGCGCAACTACCGGTGAAAAAAAGCATGGCGGCAAGGGAGAAAAAGAGAACAGAACAAGATCTTTACACACATTAACGTTGTAATTCCTCGGATTGTCAGATGGATCAGCACTGCTACATTTCACTCCTCAGCCCTTCCGGAAACTTGGTCGTTATCTCGCTACTAGTCAGTCAGTCAGTCTTCAGTCAGTCTTCAGTCTTCAGTCAGCTGTTCGCCTATTTTGCGTCTATTGCGTCTTATACAACTCTCTTTACACGTAACGACTTCTTCGATTGTATGCGGCCAGAAAAGAAAAGAAAAAGCTTCTACCATTAAATGATCTGCTCCAGGCTGTTCGTCGCGCCCTGGGAAAGGTTTCCTCTGGACCGCGACCGAGCCAAATCCGCAGCGCAAGAAATGCGGAAACAGTCTTGCGACGGCGGTTTTGCTGCGACCGCCATGTCTGCGTGGGTGTACTGCTGTGCGTTGTAGTATGGCCATGGAAGACAGCAAACACCGCAGAGCATCTTCTGTGCAGATACCTTTAATGCTTGGCCTGAGAGGGGATTCCCGTAAATACGACCCAAATTCAGAAGGCTACCTCTTGCGACGCAGCGTCTGGGAGGATTTGGAACGGTAGGTTTTTTGTTTTGATCCGGAGTATTGTTATTGTTGATTGTTATAGCACCAGAATTGATCTAAAGGGGAAATCTGACCTGGACCCCGGCCTACCTTACCTGGTTGAGAGTTGACCGACCGGCCGACCGATGACCGACAGGCTGAACTCCTTGCATCACAATGGTGACTCAGGGAGCATCATGATTGCTGCGGGTCCAATCCCGGTTTGCTAACCGCAGGTCAAATGGCACGGCTTTCGGTACTGTACTGTACATCTAGTCATAGGTAGTTTATGATTTTAGTGGAAATAATGGTTGTCTTGGTGATGAAGCAAGCTCTTTACATTCTACGTGCACTGCAGTGATGCTGGTTCTACGGTAGGTACATAGGAGGCCTGGTGGTCCAAGTTACCGATCCCTTGTGCGACCTGCCCATGGTGAGACACGTAGTAGTAGTCCGTAGTCCGTGGCCCATTCCTGGATTGCTCAAGATGACTGTCGATCTTGGACGCTAGATCTCCAAAAGTATATGTACTGTACATCCGCAGCAGGGAACTTCAAGCCTGGGAATCGTCCGCGGCCATTCGCAGGTCGACCCCCCTGAGTCTTTGTTGCTATTGCAGTGCTCTATGCTGCGCCAGGCTTCGGAGCAGAGCACGGCACCCTGGCAACCCTGTCGACCCTGGCGCAGCTCGAATTGCAGGCCAACACCTCACAAACTTGACAATGCACCTGCCCCAGCACATTGAAGCCGACCCTCCCCGATGCTCGTGTTTCCTCATTCTCTTGAGCAACAAGCGCTGTACCTTCACAGAGGTCAAGCCTCAAGCTACCCGCCAAGGGACATCTCCCCAGAGTTGACGAGTACAGAATGAATAGAACAGCCAAGCCTTCTAGATTTGTCTCAATGGGACATTCGCTCCCAATTTCGCGTCTAGGTCATACTCGTATCATCATAATTCGCATTCCACGCCAAACACACTTTTTTTTTGGGGGGGGTCCCCCGTCTGTATAATTCAAAACAATCACATGTGCGCATTATTCATATCACCTAGTTATTGTCTCCGTATTTGCTGGGAGTTGAGCTCTTCTTACTCCGGCGTTTGTGCTGTTGGTGCTGCTGTTGGTGCTGCTGCTGCTGCACCCCCTTGCTCGATTTCGTTACTCTTCTGAATCAGGAATTCGCCGAGCACGCGGAGGGGATTGGGTGGTCTGTTTGTTTTAGGGAGGGTCGTTAGCCTTTTTTTTTTCTCCGCCCCTCTTTTTTTTTTGTTGGTGAGAGAGAAGACAAGGGAGAGACGTACTGTTCCTTCGCGACACTCTTCATCCCTTCGAGCAGATACGGCACGATCTTCTCGTTCATGTATACGCGGGCGGGAGCTCCGCCCGGTCGGATTTGGGAGCCGTTGGCAGCGCTTGTTGCTGCTGCTGCTGCTGCTGTTGCTGCGGCGGTGGTGGTGGTGGTGGTGGTGTTGGTGGGTGTCGCGGCGGCGGAGTCTGCGGTCGGGGTGTTGGCGGAGGTTGAGTCGGCGGCCATTGTTGCTGCTGTTGCTGTCGTTGCTGGGAAGGGAGTGGGGGTTTGAGGTTGAGGCTGTTGCTGGTCCTGTGGTTGGGGCGTAGTAGCTACCGCTGTTTCTCCCTCTGCTGCTGGAGTTGAAGCTGAAGCTGAAGCTGCAGGGTCGGTCGCGGCGGAACCGTTTGCGGGGAACTGGTGAGGTCAGGGGATTATGGTTCCCAGTTTGTTGTTGAAGTAAAAGAAAGAGGACAATCAATTGTTTGTAAACAGGAATGTACAATAGAGTTGCGATTGACAGCGAAAGAAAAATTGCTGGAGGGGAATCGAGAGAAAAGCGGAGCTACTGAGCTTGCAATTGTCTCTCTTCCATCATGGGCTCCGCCGTGTGGGGTTTGGGATGGCCATCATTCCAGAGTTCCGTCTCGGAGAGGAGTTCCTTACTGGGTTGGAGTCGGTCATCGTGAGGTATATGTTCTGCAAGGGGTGGGGATCTGTGTCTATTGCTCTTTTGTGTTCTTTCTATTAAAAGTTATGTATGCAGGATAAGGGAAAGCAGATGAAATGCTTGCTGGATGGGAGTTACTGTACAACAAAGTTGATGAATCTCAGCCGAAGATCCCACTTGCGCCGACGCCGACTGGCGGCCGCGCTCGCTTGCAAACAGTGCAAATCGATGCCTGTCCGTTTCGGGACATATAGGTCAGGTGATTTCGTGTCGGCTCGCGTCACGCTTTTTCCTTCCCTCGCAAATGAAACAGCCCACATTCATTGATTCACGGGAGACACGGCCTAGGCGGCCATGCAATAAGGGCAAGCGAGATCGATGCTTGTATCTCTCCGGCAGTATGTCCCTGCTGGACTACTGGGATACCCAGCGCCCGAATGCGAAGCGCAGAAAAACTACTTCCGCTGACGATAAGCTCGCTACCCCGACTATAAAATTTGCGGGAGGGGATTCGGACAACACTCCTGAGTCGTCGTCGGAGTCGTCGTCGTCGTCTGATGCCCCCCTGTCGAAAGACGCCGGGGTACCAACTCTCGACCGGGTTGACTCTTATCCTATCATAGCCGAGTCTGGAATTGAACATGAGAACGACTTTCCGGTGTCGAATAGCCAAACGGAGTTGGAATCGTCCCTGCCGGCCGTGCAGGATGATAGCCAGGCAATTGAGGAATACGAGGCTGCGCGACTGGCAAGCCAGGATGAGCCCGACCTTCACCAGAGACTGCAGGATGGCAAGTGGCGCAAGGGGCGAAGCTCCATCTACGTAGATGCGTTCAACCTGGCGCTGGAGACTGTGCTGGATGAGGAGGCGCATCTGTTCGATGAGGTGGAGATGGAAGTCTTCAAGCAGTGGCGGGAGCTGGACTACGAGGCTCAGTACTTGTGAGTCCCACTCTTTCGGCGAGGGTCTTAGTGGTACCTAATGTGATCTCCTAGATACGTACGCCTCTTCCTTCGGAAGACGTCCGCCTGGCATCGCATCAACCGGCTGGGCTACTACTCGGATATCGCAGACATGCCCCGGGTGGTAGCCTCGCTGCGACATCCTCGCAGCCTTCCTACCTCCTCCTGCGCGTTACCCACGGGTGAAACCCCCGCGGATATCGACCCAGCGCCTTCGCTACGCCTGACGGGCGAGTTCAGATTCGCCGAGCACATGGATCAGATAACAACCCTCGAGGAAGCCTCGTCCTTGCTACTCCTTGATGAGCTGAAGATGCTCGCCAAGGAAGCTAAGGTGCAGGGCAAGAGCAAGAATGAACTCATTGCCGCTCTGCACCGATCCAGTCAGAAACAGACCGGTCTGGGCTGGAACAGTACACCTAGCACGACAGTATCCAACGGTCTCAACCGAGACGACCACTTCATGCAGAAGATCTTCGATCACACGGGCGACTGTATCAGGCTCTCAGCAGGCCCACTCGCCCTGTTCGAGCGCGTCCACCTGGTCTTCTACCGCTCCACCGAATGGACCGAAAAGTCCCTCACAACCATCATCCTCGCCAAGATCTCCCGCAAGAAATTCCCGGACTACATCGTGTGCCGGTCCAGCTCCATCTTCCCGACCCGCGCGTTCCTGCTCGAGTTCGAGATCGCCCTGCGCACGCAGTTCCAGATCGACAACCTGCTCGAGTTCAGCGGCACCCCCACGGTCGAACACCTGACCCGAATCAAAGACCTCGCGTACAAGGTCTACCCGCGGTGGCGCGCCCTGCTGGCGGAGGAGCAGCGCAAGGAGGAGACCATCTACGAGTACGGCGAGGGGGCGTACCTCCGCCGGTTCTCGCCCGCATGGGTCTACACGCGGATCATCCACAAGGGTCTGCACCCGCTCGGACGCTTCAAAGAACACCGGGAGGAGCATCGCCTCCTGACCGAGCTGCTCGACCAGCGCTTGTTCCACGCCGCCCGCCGCGGGGCCTGGTACCAGCGCAAGGCCCTGCTGGAGGAACACTACATGTGGGCCCTGACCCCCGCCGAGGGGCGCAGCGAGGACGGCCAGCGGAAACACTGGCGGCGGATCGCGCTGCGGACGTGCGAGGCGGGGCTCGAGGACCCCCACTGCCACCTGATCTTCCACTACGACCTCCAGAAACGCATCCTGAAGCTCGAGCGCGCCCTGAAGGTCGTGAAGCGCGAGCAGCATGATTTCGGGCACGTGCGGCTGGCGAAGCCCGCCGAGCGCACCATCGCAGGCATCCAGATCGTCGAGCCGGAGTCAGTGTCTGACACCACGGATCCGCCGTCCGCCGCTGCCAACGGCAACGGCAACAGCAACAGCACCCGGCGCGGCCGTCCCACCGTCTGGGTCGACGAGCGCGAAGGCGGCGAATGCCGCGTCGAGACCATGTGTCTGAACTGGTACCGGGCCCAAGGGTGGAAAGGCTACCACTCGGAAGGAGGGATCATAAGAACCTTGGTATGTTTGTTCCCTTGCCCCCCCCTTGGCCCCCTAGCCCCCCTTCTCCCCGCAAAACACCCACTAACTTTTCGAGTTGGTGAATGGGGAGCAGTTCAGCTACCTCTTCTACGACATCCTGTTCACGACCTACGTCCCCAACGTCTTCCAGACCCCCTACCAGACCTCCCCGCTCGACCTCCACACCGACGCCTTCTACCCGACCCGCGCCAGCGAGATCAACCACCGCCTCGCCGAGCTGACCACCGCCGGCGCCGCCGAGCGCCTCCTGCGCGCCGTCCACGCCCGCGAGTCCCCCACGCAGACCTGCGCCGTCGGCCTGGACTGGTCCTTCGCCCTCGACGACCTCGTCGCCCTCGTCCGCTGTTTTCCGGGCGACGCCCTCGCGGCCATCTGTCAGGTGCTCGCGCAGGAGTATTCGGTGCGCGGGGGCGGGGTGCCGGATTTGTTGGTTTGGAGGGTTTTCGACGATGCTGACGATGTCGCTGTTGCTGCTGGTGGTGGTGGTGAAGAAGAAGAGGAGGGGAGTAGCGGGGTTGGGGTTGGGGGTGTGGCGCAGCGGAAAGGGCAGTTTGGGGAGGTGATGTTCGTGGAGGTCAAGTCGGAGAATGATCGGTTGAGCGATACGCAGCGGTTGTGGATTCATGTGCTGTCTGGGGCTGGGGTGCGGGTCGAGTTGTGTAATGCTGTTGCGAGGGAGGTGAGGGTTGCGGGGTCTTGATTCTATCCAAGGGTTTATAAGGGCGTTGGGTGGAGTAAGCTTGGTTGTTGGTATATCGATAGCTGCGTGATGCATATATGTATGGATAGATGTTGGATATACCATGTACAGTAGTCTTGCACATTTGGACAGATACACTACGTCTCAAGAGAACAATTTACACATCTACCAAGCACCAAAAGTGGTCGTGAAGAATTTTGATATTCGATGACTTGGTCATAGCCAGAGCATAGATCCCATTTCGCCTAACTGACCCTTTCAGATCACAAGGAGAAAGAGATTGAACCAACCACGACAAAAGTCACAACCACACCAGAACCCGCAACCCAGGAACCCAACGACAGAAGACAAGTCGCTTAAGCAACGAGGGTGGAGGCGGTGGCGGACTCGTAGCGCCAGGTGGGGGGGAGGACACCGACGGTCTTGTAGTAGCGGGACAGACGGTGGATACGGGACTCGATGAGAATCAGGCGGAACTTGCTGTCCTTGTCCTTGCGGTTACGCTCAAGGTGCTTGCGGACGGCGACGGCCTACGTGCATCGTTAGCATCACAGTTCTCGCTTTACGGCGGGAGAAGAACCCGAAAACATACCTTCTTGATGAGGTGGTACAGGTCCTCGGGAAGCTCGGGGGCAAGGCCTGTTTGGGGGGGAAAATCACTCTGTCAGCCTAGGTTTTGACCAAGCAGAGGCAATACGGGGTTTTGGGAAGTGACCCAGAAACAAAAACGCCATAGTGCGCAAAGTGAATTGGACCATGGCTTTTTCTGTCGTTCTGGGTCGGGGTTTCCCTTCCCTCCAGTGTTTTGAGATTTCGAGGTGTGTTGAAACTTGAAGTTGTTGATGGAAGTGGAGTGTGGGGTTGAGGATGCGGTGATGGTGCTGGTTCCGGGGGGGAATATTCCCTCCCAAGACGGTGCGGTGTAGTTTCAACCTGCGTCTTTTGTCTTTTCGTCCTTTCCTCCGACTACCGTTTATAGGTAGCGGGAGTAGAGGATGAGAAGCGACCAAACCAGTCCAGACCATTCGTCCACGCTGCCGAACATAATGGATGTTTCAATCCCAGCGCATGGTTCCCTCGCTCCATCACCCCTCCATCAATTCACTTTCAACCTCCAACAAATCTCAAGGTACTGGTGCAACTGGGGGGGTTCGATTTTCAAAAGATTGATGGTGATGTCGTACCGTTGGACTTCAAGATACGGAGGATCTTGTTACCTGTTCACCCCGTCGTCGTTAGCAACCCTGCTCATCAAAACCAACTTCAACGAAATAAAACAACATACCAGTAACGTGCTTAACCTGGGCAACACCGTGGCTGTCACGGAGAACAACACCGATCTGGGAAGGGGTGGCACCCTTCTTGGCGAGCTTGCAGATCTGCTCAACAACCTGCTCGGAGGAAGCCTTGAACCAGGCCGGGGGAGCACGGCTGTAGGGGAGAGCGGAGGACGCAATGCCCTTTCCCTTGGAGTGAAGACGACCCATTTTGATTTTTTGGAGGGGAGGGGGGTTTGGTTGTCGAAGGGTGGTGTTGTTCTGGTCGGGACGCAAAAAAGAGCTGGGTGGTGTTGTCGAAGAATCAAATATGAATATCCGCCGGGGGGGGGGGGTCAGAATTCTTCGCGATCGTGGGTCACATGATCTTCAATTCGTGGGTTTGTGGGTATGGTCATGTGATGCTGGCAGAAAAGAAAAAAAAGTTCGCTTATTTGGCGGGACGGACGCCGGCCGTCCTTTTTATTCTTGGCTCGGAAGGTTTTCTTTTGTTTCTCTTTGCTACTGTTGGGTCATACCTTCACTTCTATTTTGCTAACGACAACGCCCTCTGGGCTGAAGATTTGGATAAGCTTATGTTGCTTTATTCCTTAGTTTCTTCGATCTGAATCATCCGAGGGACAGACTTCGTTTGCTGTCATTTTCAGCCATGCGACTCTCCCTCGGTCTTTGCTCACCAGGTTAGTACTGCCCTTAGACTCACCCCTGTGCCACCACGCAAATCTTCGCTCTTCTGTCTTCACAATGATGAAACACACCTTACTTTATTTATTTTCTGGTACCTCTTATGTCAGAGGTAGATCTGGGGACCTTACCCGGTCTCTGGGTCTATTCTCGATGATCTAACTGGACTTCTGATCTCTACCACAACTCTATTTGCTGTTTCTCCGCCGATCTGGGACTTGGACACAACGTGCTAATTCTCATTTCAGATAGGTTTCTCTTCTCCGACTCGGTTTTTGTGATATCGAAGTGGTTAGGCATAGCTGCAATTAGGATTCATGAATTGTTTGAAATCTTCTCCCTCTTCAGAGTCCTGGACTCTTCTATGGCCCGGTTGCTCTCATTCTTGTACTTTCGTAGTACTCCGTCCGAGGTCGTATATGCTCGAGAATTCTTCTCCGGTACTGTGTAACCGGCCTCGATCCCACCGTAGATGTACCGGAGCCTTCGTGGCGCGAACGATGTAGCCGTGCAGTGCTGTACTCACTACGGGACGCACTTCGTGATCAGGTATGTGCTTGTGAGATGTGATGTGCACCTGGGCGTGCTTGTACATGCCTCGTATGTGGGAGGAACCGTCGACGACCCTGCTCGAAGGTTATGACCAACAGGATCTGTTGAAGCATGGACGTGAATGCTGTTCTTCCGGCACATACTATGCAGGTACGAGGTTACCTTCGTGTAGCATACCGCTGGATTACGAAGCGAAAGGGCAAGTCGCGAATAGCAACGTGCCTGCTTTGCATGCCACATGGTATTGTCACGATGGGCCTTCACAACCCCATAACCCTGGAATACTTCAGATCACGTATCGTGCAGCAATCACACCGCCGTTCTGGCTGGATCGGAGGATAAACCCGATGATCGAGACCTGCACGATCGATACCATTCCACCTCGTGTCGAGGGAGGGGCTGCTGCAGTAAGCCAAAGTCGAGGCCGCAGGGATGAGAGGATGATAGTCGTTCTGTCGAAAATCCTCTGCGAGATCAGGCCAAAGGCACGACAATCTTGAATACGTCAGCGCTGCAAGAGAACAGATGGTGCTAGCACATAGCGGTCGCGGCACGAGCAACCCGGTTCATGTCATATGCAGCGATGGTATCAAGCTCTACACACCCATACTTGCTGAATAGCACTGAGTCACAACCGCCCCTCCCCTGCTGCTCGGAGCCAATCTCCAGTACAAAGTACTACGTAGGGTGGACGTTGTGGGGACCTGTCGTGATGTATCACAAATCCATCGAGAGCACTAAATCCCGCCAGCTCGTGGAAGAGTGCACCGTCGGGACCACAGCCCGAATCGTCATTCGTGGCCGTCACGAAGTGGGTATGAGGCATGGCATTTGGGGGAAGAGGGTAGAAGAGAAGAAGTCCGTGCAGGATCGCAGCCACTCAATCTCTCTATCGCGCTTAAGAGGCTGCTGCACAGGCGACGGAAGTTCCAGACCCAACCCGAAAGCAGTTGGTATTCCAAGGATCACGAAGATCATATCACTTCAGGCGGCCATAGTTGGCACAGTTACAAGCGCACAACGGATGATGATTCGAGGTTGGAGAAGGGGGCACGGTAGGAGCAGCGTCTGAACGCAGAGGGGTCCGGGCAAATCAGGACCACGGAGAAAGGGTTCGAAACGGAAGAGAGAGAGAGAGAGAGGGGGGGGGGGGGGGGGGGGGGGGGGGGGAAAAGGGGGGGGGGGGGAGGGGGGGGGGGGGGGGGGGGGGGGGGGGGGGGAAGTGCTGAGCTGAAAACCCCATCTATAGTGAAGATTGATATAGTAGCACTGAGTGAGATCGGAGAAAGTGAGATCTTGGGAGTCCGAGACCCGCGGGCGCACGCACGCACGTTTGAGACAGAGCCTATGACTAGCCGGGGTTGGCCCTGTCGCCGAGCCCTGTTCCTGCCGCCATCACGCAAAGCCCAGACTCTCCCTCACTGATTGGTTTACAAGGGAAGCCAATTGACCGTTTGCAAGCTGGAGGGAATGGTGGATTTGCTGGGCCTTTTGCAGAGGGACGCACAGGCGAAAGGCTTCCCTGTCCACCGTCGTTGCCATTGACTCTTCTTGCTCTTATCGCATGATCGCCCAGGTTGAGAAGCTGGCTGCGAAATCATTGCCCTGTCATGTCACTCAGGCTCCACCTCGTTTGGACCACGATGGTCAAATGACACTGAGGTGCGCAATCCCTTGGTAGGGGTGAAGTGGCCAATTGCGCACGAGAGTTGCCAGCCGGAAAGTGGTCGCAGACGAGAGAAAAAAAATGGTGGGATTCGATAATGACAATAGCGAGAAATCCTGTGAGAATCCCTGCTGGCCGAGAATAAGCCCAGTTTTGCCTCCCCCCGCGTATTCATTTGAGACTGTCATCCGCTGGTTTGGTGGCTTCATTGTCTCTGTAAATACGTATCATAAATGAGATGTAAGCAGCGGGGAAGGAAAAGGAAACGCAATCCTTTCAATACACCATGCACTTCGTACTGTACCTGGCTATCCTACTATAGTTCTTACCCTGCATTCGAGCCTTAGCAGGATCATTGGCATCAATTTGCATCCTTTAGGGTTCTTGGTGAGATCCTGGGTTGTTACAAGGCATGGCAGGCTCAGTCAGAAGTTTGTCAAGAATAAGAATCTCCGAATACGAGGCACTCGCTCCTGATGGCGAGGTCCAAATCCTCGACGTGATCCTGTGGTTTTGTCTCCTTCCATCCACCCTCTACTCCGCACCTGCTGCGTTCTCCGACTGCAGAGGATATGCCTCACTTAGCGCGAAAATCCCATCAGTCGCAGTGACGTTGCCAGACTACTGCAGTCGCGGCACAGGTTGCGTTTTGCAGATGGCGATCATCTTTGCTTCTCAAAGTCTTGTCTTTTCAGGTAGTTGCAGATCCATTAGCGTCCCGGGAGCCGTAACGTATAGTCTACGAGTAGCTGCAACTGGTGCATATCGCAGACAAAAGCAACGAGAGCAGCCTGTTTCAAGGCAGAACCTTACAGGTCTGGGGTGAAAGGGAGGGAGAATATCCGTAGTGGCAGCCTGAATGGCGTGGATAGACTATGGCAAGAGTACGAGTAAGTTAAATAATAATATGAAGGGGAATAGAAAAGGGGTAAGAGAAACTCAGATCCCGTCGGCAAGCCTAACCGATTACCTCAACTGCGAGCTTCGATGGAAACTTCCACGAACGGGCATCAATGGCGTTTAGCGTGAGCCACAGGCTCATAGCCGAACGGGAAGAATGCGAGCGCTGCCCGGCATGACGACACCTTTAGCTGGTTTCGCTCGGTTGGCGAGGAATTGTGGGCATGTTTTTAACCTTAACCACGCGGGAAGGAAATTGGAGGTGGATGAAATGCGGATGTGGATGTGGAATAGGCGATGGAAGGTTGGTCAGTGTTGAAGGCATAGGCATCCGTGGCTGGTCGCCAAATATAGTAGTACTGCCCAGGTAGTCCGCACTGTAGTGCCTGACGACTGCGACGGTCTATGTGTCAGGTCCAAAGCCAGACGTGCTCTAAACGACATAGTGTGATGACTATTACTTGATGCGCGACTCTATTGTCGCAGGGTCCCCGAACGAGAAAAGTCGCCAACTGGCAAGGATGCGACAAGAAACACCAGCAAAACAGGGACCGCACGAGGTGACGGGCAGCACGAAATGCCGTGAAACCGTCCGTGGATGGAAAGAAAATGGGTTGCCGACGACCACCAGACAATAAAGTTGATCAATTGTTCTCTCGCAAGCTTCGGCACAAAACTCAAAAGTCAAAATCCTATTCATCCGCAGGCCCATCTACCGGCTTTTCAACAAAGTCAAGTCAACACTTTGAAGATGATCGTCAGCTATTCGCCTCCACTATCTGCACCAAGGCCATCAAGGGGCTCTGTCAATCAATACTCAATCGCGCAAAAGCTCCCCCAAGCTAAGAGGCCAGGGCTGACCTCCGTTGCCGGAACGAAAAGGGAAACACGAGGAACTTTGTTGAGGTGAAGGTGAGGGTTCGTACCGTGGAAACTCCCTCCGAGTTCAGTGTCGATCAGCAGCAGCGCGGCAGGTAATAGACGCGGCCAGTACCGAGTTGTGAATGACATCCTGCGCTTCCAGCTGAGCCAGCAGCCAGCAGTCAACACTTCAAGTCATTACCCCTGGCCTTTTCACGGCGAATTCAACGGGCTCCGTTTTTACGAGACTGCCTGGAATGATTACGTAGGAGGGGTAAGTCGCGAGGGCAAGCATGTCGCTGCAGAGTCGTACGCGAGAGCCTTGTCAACAATGGTCAATGCACATTGTGATGGGGAAAGATCTAGATTCCACAATGGGGGGAGGGGGAGACTAGCGAGCATAGAGCCATTAATATCCATTAATATAAGACTGCAAGAGAGAGATGGGTCCAGGCTAGTGTCACACATCGTACTGATTTAGGTTCCTGTTGACGAAAATACTCTGTACGGTACGCGGACATGTATGTACATGTTCCTGGGGCCTAGCTTTTTCGACAGGATATGTCGTAGACCTGCTTACGATACTAGATTTTTGTAGGCCAAAAGGTCACTATGAAAATAGTGTAGTACGCAATCCAATGCTCGGTAGAGAACGCACGCTTACTTGACAGCGGCCACCATCTGTTTAGAGTTAGGGTGCACAGGGGCAATCAAAGTCAAAAGAAAGGACTGCCAGGCCGCACATTTTCATTTTGACCGAGCAACCCGACCAGGATGGTTGATCAGCTCCTCCTATCATGGGAAGAGGTTGCGTTAGCGGGAGGAAAGGCTTCCATTCCCGGGTTAGTTTTACTCCAGCTCAAAGTTTAATGCCATGCAGATGCAGCAGAATCATAAAATGGCATGCTAATGCTGACAACCCCTGCCCGCATACGAGGAGGTCTGTAAGGTACGCGGTCGGTCGTGGTCACATACCTGGTTAGTGGGAGGCAACTGAGTCGTACAGTCGACTGTTCCTGCTAACCTGTTTACTTGATGCCTGGTTGCCTGTCTGGCAGTGTCTGCTGTCTTCAGGTTGTCACTTGTGCCCTAGAATGCTCGTCAAAACTTAGCCAACCAAGGTGAATTGACACCTTGTCGGCTACCTCCCTCTGGTTCGGGCACGTAGCGAGAACCGGAATCTTACCCCAATGTTACATTCTATGGAGCGAACCGAGTACAGCACAAATCCCGACGAGCTGATGATAAGGGGATCGATCCATGGAAGGGACAAGGCTGGTGGTCACACTACATAATAGAATTGTTCGGGGAAGGGAAGTCCGTCCAAACGCGTCAAACGACGAGGGTAACCCTGCTTCAGGTTGCCACTACAAACGGGATGGAACGACTCTTTTAGGAAGAGACCGAAAATTGAAGTTAACCATCTGGGATGAGGTTCTTGGTCTTTGAGTCTTAAAGTCTCACACACAGCTTGAAACTCGCTAGTAGCCATGTGTGTATGGTAAGTTTAGGTGTACAGTACTATCCTACCTAGTACGTAAGAGCAAGGTATTAATGACCGTCAGTCATGTACCCATGAGGTACAGCCCACGTTCTGTTTCCGATCCTTGGGTATCGGTGGGTCGTGTCGACACTTGGCCTGCCCAATGATGCAGAGCATTGGTTTATACCCATGCAGAAGGCTGCAGGTGAATTAACTCGAACAGGTTTAGGGCTCCTTGACACATTGTTCTCCGTCGATGGCATCTTACCCTCTCTCACGCTCTCGAGGTCTCGCTCTCTCCTCGAAAAAACCCCGCTTTACCAGCTGGGCTGTGCTGTGCCCTACCGATACTACTACTGAATGGCTAGACTGACCCTTTCTTCGTCTAATTCCTTCCATCAATATTCATGCACCTCGACGGTCGATTGGAATCCCCGACGGAGCGTGGAACTCTACTTCCTTCCCTGGCGTTGTCGCAGCAAGCCTGTCGGTGCAATGCAATGCACCGACTCCACCCTTCCATCGTGCCCCTGAGGTTAAGCTCGGCGCAATGAGGGAAATCGACTGGAAATGTGGGAATTGGGTTTTCCACACGGACCCTTTTCAAAAAGTATGAGTAACCGAGTAACCAAGATGTGCAAGAGGCAACTCGAGGTGTGCCCCAACCGAATCTTTGGATCCTGGTGGCACCCCCGGGACGGTCCCATACTCTAGTCTCCCAGCGCGCATCGTTAAATCGAAAGTAGTATATCTGATCGCCTCCCCCCTCCTCCTCCTCCCCCCCCCATGTCCGTTCGTGCCCACTTGTACACACACACACTCTCTCTCTCTCTCTCTCTCTCTCTCGATCTGCCCGGTGTCCACATGCAGTGACTTAAACCTTATCGATCGATTGTGCTTCGTGAACGCACGGCTGTGAATATCTTGTGGAGAGGTATCACGTCCGGAGTCGCTGTTGCTGGCAACCCTATTAATCTCGCCCACCCAAGGATATGACAATCTCGCCACCACCTGCCTCCATTGAGATCGACGAGTATACTTGACATTGGCCCATACACACATCATGAGCAACACGACACTGAACGGATTATGCCCGGCTCCTTTCTACCAGGAGTCATTCTTCCCGTCGACCGGTGGATGTATGTTGTGTCTCCAGTCAATCCCCGTGTGCGGCGCTGACCATGTGCTCTCTCTTCAGACATTGACGGACGTTATTGTGAAACGTTAACCACGGCCCAGGGCAACGTCTCTTGCTGCCTGCCGTGCCCATTGTCATCATGGACATACGGTGATGGTATGCATATCGTATCGAAGATGCGGGAGAGCAATAGCTAACCGCGCACGGTTCATCCAGACATGACCAACAAAACCCAGGCCGCCGGCTGGCTTGGGGTCGCCATCCTGCCTCTTTGTATTTTTCTCTTGATCTCATATGCGGTCCTGCCTCCGAAATGGACGAATCGTCACTATCTGAGCATATGTTTCACATTGGGAATCTGCTGCATCGAGGTAAGTGCGCAGGCACGCGAGCAATTACGGAAACGGGACAATGTTGACCGGCTTCGCAGATCGCTTTCATCATCCCTCTAGGGATCAAGCCGGAGCAGTGCTTTAATGCAATTACGCCGAACGATATGTACTCGGATGTCGCGTGTGCTTTCACTGGCTCGTTACTTCTGTTTGGCGGCTGGGTAGCTGTGTCGTGGAGTATGTATTTCTTTATCATCGGTCCATGGTCCGCTCCAGCACTAATCTTGGTCGCGCAGGTTTTATCCGTACGCTGGCTTTCCACCTTCAGGTTTGTTGGGAGGTAATGCTGGGGACGAAGTTCATGTGGGGCGCATTCATCTTTGGCTGGGGCATCCCGATCATTGGGTTGACTGTCATGCTGTGCTTGACGGGGGTGTCCTACCGATTCGGTGGGACCTGTCATATCAACGTGCAGAACAGCAACCGCGATTACTGGGCGCCTGTGGTGGCCTTCTCGGCGGCAGCATTGGTCCTGCAGTTGGCCACGATGCTGTACTGTATCCACGTCTACGTCAAATCGGTCTTCGACAAGAACCCCACGACCAACAGCTCGGGTCTCCCGTCCTACAGTGCCAGCGTGCGCACCATGACCGCCCGGCAGGCCTACCGCCGCGTGCGCCGCGTCATCCAGCTGCAGTGGCGGAGTGTCACCTTGATCCTCATCATCATCGGCAACGTCATCTTCTTCGCGGTGGTCTTCATCAAGATGGACAACAAACTGGCCATGACCCCCGCCAACGCCGAGCTCTTCCTCCCCTGGGTGGCATGCCTGGTCGCCACGGAGGGCGACAAGCAGAAGTGTTTCTCGGAGGTGAAGCACGTGCTGCCCAACCAGGCCACCCTCCTGGCGGTGCTCATTCTTCTGTCGCTGGTGGGCTTCTGGAACTTCATTCTGTTCGCGAGACCATCGATGTTCCAGGGATGGGCCGACCTCTTCAAGACGAAAGTCACGCACCCCAACGAGTTCGTCTCCGCGGACGCCCGCCGCACGCCGGACTCGCGCGCCTACGAGATGCTCGACAGCTCCGGGGTGCCGCCCGCCTTCAAGACGCCGGAGCCGGTGATCCGGTCCCCCAGCCCAGCGCGCACCTCCGGGGCCCGGAGCCCCGAGCACGACAGCTACGGCCAGGAGGCGCGCTACGTGAGCCCGACGATGAGCTTCTCGTCGCCTCGCCCGCCTAGCGCGTCGCAGAACCACGTACGCGAGTGGGATCCGCAAGCGACATTTGCGCCGGCACACCCACGTAATGGATCCCAGTGACGCTAACTTGTTTGAGCATGGAGGATTTTTTTTCTTTTCGGTTGGGTTGGATTACATTGGAGCATTGCGTCAAGAGAAAAGAAAAAAGTGGCTGATGTATATTTTGTATGAACTGCATATGTTTGTTACGGCTGTACTTATACCCCGGATGATTTTGAATTGGTTTCCGCTATCACTGTTCACGTATACTATACTACATTCCGAACACAGCTTCTTTTCCATTGATACTATACATGTCCAGAGTAAGGTACTCCTCCACTAATCCTCAACAATAATCTTCCTCCCCGAGAAATGAGAAGACTTCTTCTGTTCCGAGCCCCAACGCCGCCGACCCAACCGAGCCAGCCATCCAGCCATCCATCCATCCAGCCAAGCAAACAAAAGAGAAAAAGAAGAGGGGGAAAGCCAGTCCAACGATCCCAAGAATCCTTTTCTTCCAACTTCGTAGAAACAAATCCTTCGCTTCTTCGATTCCCCTGCCCTCCCCCCCCCCCAAACTTTAATAAAGCATACACAATTGCCCGAGGCGGGGGGTGGGAAATTCCCTCCGTCGAACTAAAGTAACCGGTAGACTAAACGCTAACACTAACGTGAACGGGTATCTGTCCCCCGCGCCGCGCCGCAGGAACAAATTCCTTTAGGCTTTTGCCTCGCAGCTCGCCTCGCTTATCCCTTGGCTTTTGGATCATCGTTGCACACGCCGTAAGAAACCCCTCTCGGACCTCCCCCCCTCCCTTCGGCCCTCCCGGTGGAAGTGGCCGTGGTTGTGGAAATTAGATTGGGTTTGGGGCTGGGTGGATGGTGAGAGTTCTAGACTTCCCCGCTGCTGTCGTCGCGGTCGCTTGCTTTTATCTGACTTGATGATGGGGTGCGGTGCATTGCATGGGTAGGGTATCAGGGAGCAGTGTGCATGGGGTACCGTACGACTGGTGCAGGTGCGGGCTTGCTTACATGCATGGACGTTGAGAACGCTTTCGCTTGTTTGTTTGTGTCTCTGTGTGTGTTTGCTTGGGTTTAGTTTAGTTTGGTTTTGGTTTGAACCACGGAGGATTCTTGGGTGTAGTGGAGGTGGTTCGATTCCTTGCCGTACAGTAGTAGGTCAGCGATAATTCTCCGAGAACAACTTAGTTATTAGAAGGGCGTCTGCGTCTGCGTGGGTGGCTTAATCTGGGGTAATATGGGCCACGTAGAGGCCGGTGCTCCGTAGACGCACAAGTCCTTCTTTGGATGTGTTGAGGTGACTGACTACGTACCGAGGTATGATATGGTACTAGTGCCTAGTGTTTTGCCACAATACAGCACAGTAGTAGCCATTGGCCTAAGCGGAATCCTTGTGTGTGTTCTGAGGTCAAGGGCGTATCTTACATCAGTACAACCGTCCTTACCGATCAACATGGGTGGAGGCGATTTTCCTATCGTCTTATTTGTGATCTAGGGCTCCTCCGCGGATCGCGTGTCAGAAAGTAAAGCCTCTTTGAGTTCGGCCTACGGAGTCCGCCGTTGGACGCCCGTTGGGGTTTTGAAAGTAAGTTTTATGTGACAGGGCCTGGGACTTGTCTGTTTGTGATGGGGGTTCTGTTCTATCAGGGTCTGGGAGTGTTCTTTATCTCGCGGGGGGTGCAGGGTTACATACTTATTTTTCGACGATGTGTTCTGAGTATAGCACCGAGTACATGATTCTTTGGTTGGCTGATTCGATCTCTAAGTATGTTGGTGTCTAAGAATAATACATCCATCGATGGGATGTAGATTGAATGGCAAGGGGGTTATTACTGCCATCATCAGATAGTTACTTTAATACATACTTGCAGTGCATACCCTGGGAGGCGCTGAACATGTAGCGGAAACCCTGGGCCCATTCACAAGACTTTGCACTAGTTCTCTGTATCTATCTTATGCAAGGACACGAGCCAGGTCACCTTGGCAAGGTGATATATGTATACTACCTACCTTCTTTTGTGTAACATGTAGTGATAGGTTTGTTTAGAGCTACAGTTGTGTATAACTGCTTGAGCAGGTTCGAACCAGCGACTATGCTGAATAGAAAAATCAATTCACGGTTCAGATAGACTGGTAAGCAGAGTAAGTATCATCTTGACGACCCCCTTGTCGAAGAGTATCACAACAATCGAACATATTTATTTCATCGCAGCGGAAAGCAGGATAAGCGAGAACGCCCACCACGCGAAAAGGATTATGAATCTCATAGACACCAAAACCAGAGGAAATACTAATACAACTCTTTCACAGTCAACCTCGTCATTCAAGCGCGAAAGACTGTGCAAGGTGTCCCCTTTAGGGTTTAAGGTAGAATCCTATGTTTTAGTATAGAGACAAGTCAGTGTTCCTCCCACAAACTAGACATCACAGCTACATCAAACTACACACAATCAGATCCAAGTAATCGTTTCTCGCTATGATACATCGTAACCCAGTACTAGGTCGAAAAAATCCACTATTATAGAAACCGCCCCCCTCCCACAACCAGTACAGGTATTGAGCATCGGCATCGGCTGTTCCCAAATTCGGGTTCTGGGGTATGACTTGCCTCAAAGCAAATAAGAAGCATCGTGAAGAGAGAGTTTAGGAAAGACGCAATACAAGAACGACCGGGCAATTACCAAGCGTTGACATCGAAGTTTTCCTAAAGCCTTGTCAGAGAGTTCGTTGGGGATTACACTTCGCAAAAGACTGCTCACCTCGGAGAAATACGTCGTCACGACAGTCCGGTCCGAGAACTTGCGGCCCGCAAGCGCCTTCAGAGCATTCGTGGCCGACTCAACCGTGTCGAACTTGACGAAGATCTTGCCAACTCCAGGGGACTGTCTGCTGCCGCCAGAGGGGCGGGGCACCTTCAACTCGACGATCTGGCCGTATTTCGAGCACTCATCGCGCACGTCATCGCAGATTTCTAGCGGGCAATTAGCCACAAAACACGACGAAAATCGGCAACAAGAAACATACCTTCGTAGTCATCGTTATCAATAAGCTCCTCCGGAGTCACCATGTTCAACAGCTGCAACACACGGCTAGTCTCCAAGTCCTGAGATGTCGTCTTGGCAAACATGGACATCGCGTTGACGCCCATATCCAACCCGGCGGCCTGGGTCATTCCGATACTGGCACGCACCACCTTCAGGTGTCGGTCACCCAGCTCCATCCCGTTCAGCCCCTCCACAGCAATGCTGGTGGCGGAAGGATCGGCGTACTCGCAGAACGCGATTCCCTGGAGAAGTCAGACTTGCAAATTCACACGTTCACACAAAAACACTTACTCTGGACTCTTCTGTAGAGCTGTCCTTGACCAGGACGAAAGACTTGAGCTCGCCGAACGACTTGAGAAGCATAGTCACCGGTTCCTCGGGGATATAGTTGGGGATGTTCGACACGCAGATCTTGTTGGGCGAGTCAGGAACCTCGTTCAACAAAACTCCCTCCTGGTACTCCTGCTCGACTCCGCTGGGAACAATGTAATCCTTGGGTCGCCGCACTTCCAGCCCCTGCGGCGAGCCGTTAGCATCGCCATTGCCGGCAGCCTCGTGCTCCTCCATCGTGATTCCGTCGAATGCGAGGGCAACCGTGGCGTCGCCGGGGGTCTTGAACTCAAGAAGAGCATAGGAGCGGTCGGTCGACACCTGGGCCGAGATACAAGGATCCACGCTCTCAACAACGTTGAGGCCGTTGAGTTGGAGGTTGAAGAAGGCCAGGAGCGCCTCCCCAGTGACGGTGGGTGGCAGGTTGTAGACGAAAAGACGCTTCGACTGACGGGAGTTGGCTGGCTTGAGGGCGGAGGTCTCGGTGCTGCTGCCAGCGGGCTGGTTCATGAAGGCTTGGAGACGGCTGGGGTCCATGGGCTGCTGACGCGGTGCCCCAGGGAGAGGAAACATGCCTGTATGCGTAAGTTTTGCTATTCATCATTACTCAAAGGGCGGGCCTTCTTACCTGAGAGCTTAGCCTGCTCGGCCGTGACGTTCTCGTAGCCGGGGGGCTTGATGTCCCATTGCGTCAAGCGACGCTTGCGATCCAAGACCGACAAGACATCCGTCAGGTCGGGTGTAGGCTCCCTCTTCCGTGGAGGCGAAGCACTCCGCTTCCGCTCCCTTCTGTCGCCGCCACGCTCGCGCTCGCGATCGCCGCCGCCGCCGCCACCACCACCACCACCGCCGCCGCCGCCGCGGTCAGCGCGGTCTCCACGCTCACGGTCCCCCCGGTCCCGTCCTTCCCGTCGGGGTCTCTCATCAAACAGGTCTCGGTCCCTCTCGCGGCGAGAGGGTCTGTCTTCGTAGTCTCTGCGGCGGCGGTCGCCTCGATCCCGATCCCAATCGCGCTCTTCTCGGCGGCTGGAGTAGCGATCCTCGCGTTCGCGGGCGCGGTAGTCGCGGCTGGACGAGTACGAGTCGGCCTCGAGCTCGCGCCGGGAGCCGCCCCGAGAGCTGTAATGGGGCGATCTGGACCGTCTTCTGTCGCCTCGCTCGCCCCGTTCGCCCCGTTCTGCTCTCTCCGGTCTGTCTCCTCTGTCCGATCGCTCTGGTCTCTCCGGCCTCTCACCACCACGTTCGCGACGCTCCTCGCGCTGTGCATCGTCGGTCGGGTTAGCTGCTCCTGCTGCTGCACAAGAGATAAACATTGTCCATGTCAAAGAACGAACTCACGTAGTAATCCCTAGAGCGACCCGCCTCCGCTTTATCCAAAATGTTAGAAAAGTGAGCCCAGAATAAGGGCTACGTTATCCGGGATGTGTACTCACGTCTGGCAGAATACGTATCACCGTTCATTGTGAACAACAACTCCAGCAAGTAGAATAGATTCCCTTTTCGGTTGCTGATTTTCCCCCTTCGTCCTTGGGATCGCAAGAGTTCGGGCTGGAAACAACAAACAAGCTCCAGAAGCGAGCTGAGACAGTAAGTGAGTTTCCAAAGGTGCCACCTCAAGCGCACCGAGAAGATGGAAAGCAAAGAGGTTCTGATGAAGGAGAGTGGTTAGAGCTGCGCTGGGGAAGGGAAAACTCGCTGGCCGGCGGCGACCAAGCACGCACCACTAAGTAGCCGCCCGGGCGCGCCCTAACCGGTTAGCGCGGTCAGGACCGCCTTCTTTATCGGACCCCCAGTGGGCGGCAGAATCGGCATCGGTATCTACAGCGTTGATCGATTTGGAAGTTCGTTCTACTTGCTTGGAACTTTTTGGGATGCTTGACAAGGCCAATTGTCTTTCATCATGACAGTCGGTGCTTTCTCCGAATGGCGCAAGCTGCCTGTGAGTCTGAGCGAGTTGTGCATCAACACGACCTTACGCTGTGGACAATCATTCCGGTAATTTTTCTCCCCTTCTCACCTCGCCGCTCAGGGCCCATGTGCTGCACTATCCTATCCTAAAAAGCGCTCACAAAGCTAATCCAACTCTCCCAAAGATGGCACAATGTCCCCGACAGCGACGAATGGCGCTGCGTTCTCCACGGCCGACTGCTATCCCTAAAGCAAGATCCCACCCACCTCTACTACCGAACCTACCTCCCCTCTCACCCTCCCCAGAACACCATCTCACCACCACCACCACCACCCAAAACCGCCGCCGCCATCCCTCCAACCCAACAAAAAGCCTCTCTCCCCCCAACCGACCACATATCCACTCCTACGAACTATGACGACGACCCCATCCTCCCCCTCCTAACCGCCTACTTCAACCTCCCAGCCAACCTCACCACCCTGTACGAGGGGTGGTCCCAGCACGACGCGAACTTCCGCCGGAAGGCGCCGCAGTTCACGGGGATCCGCATCCTGCGGCAGGACGCGTGGGAGGCGCTCATCGCCTTCATCTGCAGCAGCAACAACAACATCGCGCGCATCTCGCAGATGGTCGAGAAGCTCTGCCGGCGCTACGGCGCCTTCGTGGCCACCGTTGACGGCCGCGCGTACCACGATTTCCCCGGCCCGGAGGCCATGGTCGGCGACGCCGACGACGGTGAGGAGGGCGTGGATGTGGAGGCCACCCTGCGCGGGCTCGGGTTCGGGTACCGGGCCAAGTACATCGGTCAGACGGCGCGGATTGTGGCGCTGGAGCGGGAGGAAGGGTGGTTGGAGGGGTTGCGGAATCCTGAGTCGGTGGCGTTGGGTTATGCTGGTTCGCTGGGTGGTGAGGGTGGTAGTGGTGACGCAGGGGAATGGAAGGAGGAAGGGAGGGAAGGGTATCGACTTGCGCATGCCAAGTTGCTGGAGTTGCAGGGCGTGGGGCCTAAAGTCGCGGACTGTGTTTGTTTGATGGGGCTGGGGTGGGGTGAGGCGGTGCCGGTGGATACGCATGGTGAGTCTTTCTTTTAGCTTCTCTGGCGGAGGGATGTTACTGACCGTGGCATATGTGTACAGTCTGGCAGATCGCGCAGCGGGATTACAAGTTCGGGAAGGGGTCGCATAAGTCTCTTAACAAGGTGTTGTACGATGCCGTGGGAAATCATTTCCGCAGGCTTTGGGGGAAGGAGGCGGGCTGGGCGCAGAGTGTGCTATTCACGGCGAATCTGAGGACTTTCTCGGACCGCTTGGCGGCGACTTCTTCCAAGGTGGGGGTGAAGGTGGAGGTTAAAGATGAGGAAGGGGGGAATGACGGTGTTGAGGTTAAGACAGAGGTTACCACGGCCACGGCTATCCCATTGAAGAGGGCAGCAAGCGAAGATGGCGTCAAAGTTAAGGCGGAGGACGATACGGACACGCATGCTGTTCTCCAAGCCTCCCAGACTACGACCACGAGACGGATGTCCAAGCGGCTCCGGAAACGATGAGGCGATGAACATACCCTGTATCATATTTCTTGTACTGTATATATTTGCATGTCTGTATGAAAAACAGCTCGGCGGACTCAGAGTCACTAGAGCAAGGTCAATAGAGCAGGACTCTGATCGTCCTGATTAAAGGAATAGTTCTGCATATGCAATTGTAGAGATGTGCAGAATTCGGGCGTGATAGCTCGCAGTCCCGCAATGGTGCTGTACTCATTCAAGATGCATTTTCTCCTGGTTCTCATCGTATCCGCAGGCGAACGTATCACAAACCGTTCAGCATTGCATAGATACTCACTCCAAGTGGTATAGAAGCTCGAACGATGCACATCTCCAAAGTACGAGTTATACTTACAGTCGCCTGTCCTTCAACCCAACCTGCCACTTAATTCATGGAATGCGAGCAATGTGTTGTCCATGCCGAGACTGGGCCAAGAAAACATGTTCCTCCAAGCACCTGCTTGGCGCTCGAAGCTTCCACCACAGCCATCAACCGCTTGGCAATGATACTTTCTGAGCCTGTATCTGGACAAAGCCTGTGGCTTCTCGTTGCCATGAATCGAGAGACGAGGCATCCAAACCAGGTAATAACTTTCGAGTCATGACGAGCTAGCGTATTCGAATCAATGTCACATCCATTGGAGCCATGCAGGCTCCCGAACCCAAGTTCTGAGGGAGCTGAAATGCAACATCACCCCACAATGGAAGCTTAACCACTGGGTTAATTGGCATTGACAATGATAAGAAAGCCAGATAGCATCTCCGAGTTCGGCAGTACCCAAGGAGAAATAGGCTGGTCAGTGATCCGAGTCGGTGCTTTTGCTGTGAGACGGCCCATGGGAATGTGCAGTTGGCGCGGGGGTAGAATCCGTCGGGAAAGGGTTCCCGACTCATGAGAGTCCTTGAGTCAACGCATGATATGGGGCATGATACCAATTGCCCGGAAGGGCTGGCTAGACGAACCGAAAAGGTACCGATACAGCTGGCTGATTATGTATCACTCGACAAGCAGCCCATTGGTTCAGAGGTACTGTACCAATGCCTCCTGAGTCCGACTGCCCGTGTGGACAAACTCAGAAGTGACTTGGTGCGAAACCGTCCGGTAGACGGGCGACGGCATCCTGGTTTAGTGAGTCGGCCGACCAGTCGGACCAAAGCTGATGTTACATAGACTCGGCTAGAAGGAGCAGTGAGTGGGTAGGAATGTTTGGGGTCTGGCACCAGCATATTGGCTCGCGTGGCACCACATGACCGGAGAAAAAAAATAAGTGGCAGCAGTGGACACCGGGTGGGTGAAGAGAGGAAGAGAACAAGGTAAAAGGTTCAATTCTCGCGGTTGAGTTTCGGTGGGCGCTCACTTGGCAACTCATGGCTTAACACTATTTTGCATGGACGATTACCCCGCGTTGGTACTGGCTGGGGGAGTGGGGGCACATTTGGGGGACTGGCCAGCCAATGTGAGTGCGAAACAGGAGAACAACAAGCGGGTAAATCTTTATTCCACCATCACTAGTAAAGAGAGAGCACTTGCTGCCAGCAGAACAAGAAGGCGTCATGGCATGACAGACTCGAAGGTTCAGGAAGACATGGAAGTGTGAGAGAACAAGAAAATGTGGGGAGTTCTTGGCCTCCGGGGGAAAGCTTGGCAATGGGACAGAATAGACTCAATGGCCACCATTCCTGGTCATCTGAGATAGAACAGTCAGTCATCATGATGGAAGAGAAGGGAGGATTGAGGGGAATTAAAACAAAGAAGAACAAGAGGAGAGGGTCTGGGCGGACAAGCAGCTGCCTCATTCTGACTCAGATGAACCCTCATCCTCCTAGCCATCTCCTTCCTCGCATGGTTTTGATTCGGCCCAGGTGTCAGCCTCTACTGCCTCATGTGAGTGATCGGCAAGAGTCCGAAAGGCTAACCAAAGCCTGGTCCTCAGAAAAGCACCTGAGCTAGGTTTATGTAGGTTTTGATTAGACCCGAGGAGAAATCGCGGGGTCTGTCATCCTCATGGCTGCTCGGCGAACATTCGCCTGCCCGACGTCGGCCTTTTAAGACTGCGGCCGAGTCTCAAATTTCGGTTCTTTTCTTTTCTTTTTCTTTTCTCGCGTTTCACTCTTCGTTCTCTGCCCCTTTTCTTGCCTCTTCTTCAGTCGAACGGTAGTTGTCTGTTCTTCTATCCAGCATGTCTCATGTCGAAGAGGACGGCCCCTCACGGGCAGTCCAGCATCATGTTTCGGACGAAGATGATTTACCGTCAATGAGCATTGGAAAGTACCTGATCACTCGGATCCCGACCCTGGTGCCTCCTATGAACCCTGCTCCGAATCCAATCAAGGCTCTTACTCTGCTCAGTGGCAAGCAATGGCTCTTCTTTGGTGTAGGTGACTCGAGATCCTCCGCGCCGCCCGTTCGCTGCTAATCGCATCTCTAGGTCGCCTTCTTTGGTTGGACGTGGGATGCCTTCGATTTCTTTACCGTTTCCTTGACGACCACCCAGCTCGCAGAGGCCTTCGACAAGTCGGTCACAGATATTACCTGGGGTATCACCCTCGTGCTGATGCTCCGCTCCGTGGGCGCAATCGCCTTCGGCATCGCTGCCGACAGATGGGGCCGGAAATGGCCTTTCATTGTCAACAATATCATGTTCATTGTGCTGGAGCTGGGAACAGGTTTCTGTAATACGTATCGTGAGTTCCTGGCCTGTCGCGCTCTCTTTGGAATTGCCATGGGGGGTCTCTACGGCAATGCCGCGGCTACTGCGCTTGAAGATTGTCCAATGGAGGCGCGTGGTATTGTGTCTGGTTTACTCCAGCAAGGCTATGCGTTTGGATACCTGCTGGCGACGGCTTTTGCACGCGGACTGGTTGACACAACCTCGCACGGTTGGAGACCCTTGTATTGGTTCGGCGCATGTCCTCCGGTCTTGATCATTATCTACCGGCTCTGCCTGCCTGAGACGGATGCTTTCATCGAACGCCAGAGGACTCGAAACTCTGTCCGAGGGGGAGTAACATCGACTTTCTTGTCGGAGGGCCGGACAGCTTTGAAGCGGCACTGGTTGCTCCTGATCTATCTCGTGCTGCTCATGGCAGGCTTCAACTTCATGGTGTGTACTTTCTACTGTTCGTTGTTGACGCCAGATTACTAACTAAACCAGTCGCACGGCTCGCAAGATCTGTATCCGACCATGCTCAAGAGCCAGTTCGGCTTCTCGGCTGATGCGGTCACTGTCACCCAAGTCGTCGCCAACCTGGGCGCATTGACGGGAGGCACCCTGTGCGGCTGGGCGAGTCAGATCTTCGGCCGACGATTCTCCATCATTGTGATCAGTATCGTCGGCGGTGCCCTCCTCTACCCGTACACTTTTGTTACCTCGACCAATGTCATGGCTGCCGCCTTCTTCGAGCAATTCTGCGTGCAGGGCGCTTGGGGTGTTATCCCCATCCATCTGATGGAGCTGTCCCCAGGCTCAATCCGCACCTTCGCTGTGGGTACAGCGTACCAGCTAGGCAACCTAGTGTCGTCAGCCAGTTCCACGATCGAGTCAACGATCGGCGAACGGTTCCCTCTGCCCCCTTCGGACACTGGAGCCAAGCGATACCAGTACGGCAAGGTGATCTGCATCTTCATGGGCTGTGTGTTCGTTTATGTGATCTTGGTGACATTCTTGGGCCCGGAGCGGTTGGGACGTCAGTTCGATGTGGCACATGATGCGGACATGGCGGAAGTGACGGCGCATCGCGGCAAGGACGATGAGGTTGTTGAGAGTGACCCAGAGAAGGGTACCGTGCGTACTCTAGAGGGCTGAAGCACGCGGCAAGAAGATGTTTACATTATAGTACGAGATCTACGATGTGATGATTTAGCTTTCAAATTTACGGACTGCAGGACGCTTGGATAGTATGACAGGAACTGCTTCAATCATGCATGGCCATACGATCTTAAGATCTTCCCACAAGACCAAGCGTTCGTTTACCGTAGAGACATGATTGCAAGTATAAGTATGTAAAGGGTCAAGCTTCTAATTGAACAAAGAACCTTGAACAGGGTGATTGGGAAACGTTGAACGATTGTAGCTTGCCAATGAGTCCGCTGCTTGGATCTTTAACCTGGGATTCGACCGAGTCAGTCAGTCAACGCACGGGACACAACACAAGGAAGTCAGGCTCCAGTCTCCGCAGGGCATTATCAGCATCTGCTTAATTGAAATGGGCTCATTGTCTCGAGTGAAGACCATCACAGGGTTGAAGTCTCTTCATATGCATTGCCAGTGTTGTAGCATCCAAATAGGAAGACAAAATAAACTCACCTGGGATTTTATGCAGGTTTGTGCATGAGTGAGTGGAGAGGTGGAATCATCCGGGTTGGGAACTGGGGAGCAGGAGCTGGATTTATAGGTGTTGGTTAACCCCGCACGGCGGTCGCCTGGCTGGCACCTGCAGGGGTGATGCGTGGTCTGATGTATCATAGTTGTTCGTTATACTACGGGTTGAGTGTCTTGTGCAATAAATGCAATAAATGCTGAATACATATCTTAGGGACTGATGTGTGCTGCTGCACAATGGACTCCGTAATTTGCCCGTTCTCCATCCACTTAACTACTCGGCTGCGGGCTGGTGGTGGAGCCTGAATGGAGTCTCTCAGGGTCTCATTGCGAGTCCAGACTGCGCACTCCATATTAGCAGAGTATGCTAATTTGAGACAGAGAATAGGCCTTTTCGAGCCTGCAATTGATCGTGTCGACTGTTGCGCTTCATCCCATCACTCTCTCTCTCTCGCTCCAGCATGTAGTAGAAGTTGAGGCCAAGAGGATTCTCTCCTCGTAGCTGTCAGGCCGACTTGATCCATGGGACCCATGGAACCCATGGAACCCTCCGGGCTTCGTCCCTTGTATCCCAGTTGAGCGGCAATGCGACGCTGACTTCATGACATCCGGACTGGGGAGGATGCGGAAATGGACAAGAACTTTCACTGCTGCCTCATGAGAGAACAGTACAGTACGTAGACGGTAGAACTGACAGTCGATGGGTGGTGGCTCGATCGTGCCGACTTGCATCCGCCAAGCCCGTTCCATCTGCGGTGCCAAAAAAGAACCTCAACCAACCTTTCCAGTTCCATCGCCTTGCCTCGCTCGCTTCCCTACTGCTGCTAATTTACCAACTGCTGTTGCTGCTGCTTTCACTTCTTTTTTCCCTCTCCTTCCTATTGAACCTCCTTCGGGTCGACTCGTCCTCTTCTTTTTTTCTTCATTCACCTTCTCCCGGCCTTCCTCTCCGTCGCCGGTCTTCTCCTCTACTGCTATCTTCCCTCCTCGTTCCCCTCCTTATCGCCTCCGTCCGTCGGTCGCTCGTTCGTCCTCCGGCCCAAACCCCGAGCTCGTTCCTTTTAGGGGTCCATTCGGTCTCGAACCAACCACAAACAATTGATTGGGGAGGAAAGACAGGAAATACTGGCACGACTTACACTTACACTTTCATTCAGCTACATCAACCCCATCGTCGTGCTTGTCCGTTCGTTCGCCGGCTCCTCCAGATTGCACATTGTCGCATTCCAGCCTCCGTCTTCCAGGGACGGATCCCCTTGCCGCCGTCTACCATTACCGCACACTTCCACCCCATCCCATCACTTCTCGGTCTCACCTACGTGCTGGATGATTATCCCGACTACGGCCACTTCCAATGCACAGACGCTCGTCTGGCTCGCCGGCCGAGGACGACGCTGAAGACTCCGTGATCACCGTCTCTCGAACCCAGACTGAGCCCAGCCATGTTCCCCATGTTCTCGATCCGCCGGAAAAATCCCGCTCGCAGGCAGCCAGAACCGGCACCAGCTTCGATCTACGGCGAGACACCACAGGCACCTCCAATACCCGCTCGAGAAACTCGAGTCTCTGGCGCACGCCCTCCGCCTCTCATGAGTCCCGATCGTCGTCCGTCATGACTCCGCTGGCCTCCCAGCGACTGCCCATGGAAGCCTCCCCCGAAGGCCAGCACCGCTTTCGCCCGTCGCATCTCCGCAGTCCCTGGCCGATCTCCGTCCTAGCCGCGCTCACCACGCTCGTCGCCTCTATATTCTTGTTCTTCATCTGTCGGTCCTTTACTGTACGGCAGGTCGGCGGCGATGGATGTGGTATTCCCGTCATGAGCCCCACCTTCATTCGCATGGTCGGATTCGATACGGAACATACTCGCTTTGCCAGCAAATACAATCTGTTTCTTTATCGGGAAGAGGGGGTGGATCCGTACAACCAGGAGAATCTCGGGGTGAGTTCTTGGCTCAGATTTGATCCCAGAGTCCTTCATTGTTCTCCATCGAGTACTGATGTTTAATCGTGGTTTCAGCTTAATGGTGCACCGGTGCTCTTTTTGCCTGGAAACGCCGGCAGTTACCGACAAGTTAGATCCCTGGCTGCCGAAGCGTCGCGCCACTACGCCGATGTCGTCCGTCACGATCAAGAGCGCCTCAAGACGGGCACACGAAGTCTAGATTTCTTTATGATTGATTTCAACGAGGATATGGCAGCCTTCCATGGCCAGACGCTGCTAGATCAGGCGGAATACGTCAATGAAGCTATCTCATATATTCTGTCACTCTACCACGATCCTCGACGATCGCGGAGAGACCCCGGCCTGCCAGATCCCAGCTCTGTCATTCTGATTGGACACTCTATGGGAGGCATTGTGTCTCGCACCGCGCTGACCATGGCCAACTATCAGGCGAACTCCGTGAACACCATCATCACCATGTCGGCCCCGCACGCAAAGCCTCCGGTCTCTTTTGAATCAGACATTGTCCACACATACAAACAGATCAACGATTACTGGCGTGAGGCTTACTCGCAGACATGGGCCAATAACAATCCGCTGTGGCATCTGACGCTGATCTCCATTGCCGGTGGTTCGCGCGATACAGTGGTTCCGTCCGATTATGCCAGTATATCTTCGCTCGTTCCGGAAACGCACGGTTTCACTGTTTTTACCTCCACCATTCCGGATGTCTGGATAGGGATGGACCATCTATCCATTACATGGTGTGATCAATTCCGCAAAGCAATCATCAAATCTGTATTTGACGTGGTAGATGTTCGCCGCGCCAGCCAGACGAAACCGAGAGCCGAGCGCATGCGGATCTTCAAGAAATGGTACTTGACCGGTCTGGAAAGTGTGGCAGAGCGAACGCTCCCCCAACAAGGTACCAACAATGTTGTGCTTTTTGTTGAAAGTGTTACTGACAGCTTGAGCAGAGCCCAGCACGCTCTTGACATTAGAAGACAGCACCAACACCATCCTCCCACAGGGCCAACGACTGGTTCTCCGCGAATTCGGCCATGAAACCGGTCCGAACGTGCACCTGCTGCCGGTCCCTCCGCAAGGCGTATCAGGGAAGAAGTTTACGCTCCTTACGAATCAGCACTTCGACAGAACGGGCGAGCACGGGACCCTGGAGGTTCTGTTCTGCAGCGTTTTTCCCATGCACAACGGCAAATTTGCCGGCGTGTTCTCAATGAACATGGACTTCTCCGGTGGCAGTGCCGGCTCAACTCGCCTTGCCTGCAAGAATGCCGCTGATGATGGGATTCATCTGCCGGCATCGACGCATTCTTCCCGACATGCTTATGACAGGGTCACGCCTTTCTCTTACCTACAATATGATCTGGAGGACCTAGTGGAGCATCAGTTCGTGGCGGTCGTTGACAAGGCTCGTTCTCCGACTCGCGGATGGGTCGTCGCTGAGTTCTCCGACAGTTCGGACTCAGTGATCAGAGCCCATGTGGGCTTGGGAGGACTGCTCAGTGCTGGTGTCAAGATGCGACTGCCTGCAAATCGTCCTATGCTCACGGAGGTCAAGATCCCTGCTTTGCATTCAAGTCTGTTGAACTACAAGCTCAAGATCGTGCGACGCGGCCCGCGGCATCAGCAGGAGCTCTTCGCGCCGTTGTTGCGCCAGTCTATTCCGGACCCGCACGAGTCGAAATTCTTCGTCAATGTCCAGCATGTTCATGTCAACCTGCACGGCGTTGCGCCCTTTATGCCTCCCCCGCTTCGCGAACAGGCAGCACTGGGTGGAGTATCTTTCCAGCTGTGGACGGACCCAACTTGCGAGTCGTCGGTTGATATTTCTTTGGCAGTGGATATTCTAGGCAGCTTGGGTGAGCTCGTAATGCGCTACCGGACTGTTTTCGCGGCTTTTCCAGTTCTTGTCATAGCCCTTGTTCTTCGCAAACAGTTCCAGGTGTATAACGAAACCGGCTATTTCATCACCTTTCTCGAGGGCCTGGACAGCACCATACGATCATCCCTGCCCATCCTGCTGCTGGCGATGTCACTGCTGGCGTCCTCCCTGGCTACATCTAGCACCCTGCCGCCGCGCGACGAAATGTTCCACTGGCACACGAACGCCACCGAGACTCCAGTGGACTATACGAAGAATGACCTGCTATTGGGCTCTCAGGATGCCTTCTTCTGGTTTCTGGTACCCATCTTTGGCATGGTTAGCGTGGGTGTTTGTGTCCTCATCAACTACGTCGCATTGTCTCTGCTTTCGGTATTCGCCTTCATATATGGTCTCCTGAACAGCCGATCCGGTTATATCAAACGAGATGACAAGGGGTACGTTTTTGGGTTTTTCTCTATCCAGATTTCCACTAACCGACGCAGAAATCTTTCCATGTTCTCTGCTCCTACGCCGAGACGGAGACTGATTAACACGGCTATCCTGCTCATTCTTGTCTCGACGGTTGTTCCTTACCAGTTTGCATACATGGTAGCTTGCATTGTGCAGCTAGCTACCTGTGTGCGCGCCCAATGGCACGCCAAAGAGACTGTAGGCCTTTCCAGCCCTATTTCTGAGTTGTTGCTGATCCTTCCCAGAACTCCACGACTCACTACAACTTTGCAAATTATACGTACTCGATCTTCTTGTTGATGCTCTGGATCCTTCCGATCAACATTCTCGTTCTGCTTGTCTGGGCGCACAACCTTGTGGTTCATTGGTTCATGCCCTTCTCTTCCCATCATAATGTGCTGTCCATCATGCCTTTTATCCTGCTTGTCGAGGCTATGACGACAGGAACCATGATCCCCCGAGTCACCACCCGGTAAGGTCTATTGCAGCTACGTCTACGGGCAACCAAACTGATGAATCCAGGTTAAAAACCATCACCTCTGTTCTCCTCTTCGCCATCGCGGTGTACTCGGCGGTGTACGGCGTGTCCTACGCCTACCTCCTGCACCATCTTACTAATATACTGGCTGGCTGGCTGGTCGTGATCTACCTGTTTGGCAGCGGCTTCTCGATCCGTCGACTGTGGCGGCTTGTGGACGGAGATGACGGGACGCCCGGCTCCGCGGAATCCGGCAGTCACATGAAGAAAAAGCCATAATGGTATTCCTCCGTAGATGTTGTTTTTTTTTGTTTTGCTTTCTGTTGCATCATGCCGGTTGCCCTGTTGGGGGCCATGATTATAAGGAGTTCGATCGTCGTCTGCTTTGGAGCGGTGTTGCGTGCTTTCGTGTCTGTCAGAACGACGGACGTCCAACATGTACAGGATTTGGTTTCTCACCGATCTGTTGACACCATGAGTCGTCTGTATATACGGTGGGGACTGGGATATAGACTCTAAGAGATAATACTAGTACGCAGATTCATGTGACTCATGGTTGTGTAGAGATGAGTTCGTGGGAGTACGGTACACCTGGCGGACCGGACCACATTGGCGGAAGGATGGAGTTGCCGGACACTTTTGTAGTCGCTGATCGACGGAGATGAAGAAACCTCTCTGAGGCGAATCGGTATGGCTTCGCACCGAACGCTAGATCGAATGACTCGAAGAGCTTTGCGTCAACCTCCCAGGACCTACCAATTCTAGACTCTTCGCCTCTCTAAGTTTCTCCGTGAGAAATCCAACCGCCAAGACCCAGCGATGACTGAACCAGTTGACATCATGCGGTGAGTGAGCCGTCCCCCAACCTTGGAAGCTTGGAAGTATACAAATCTGCCAAGAGATTAGATCGCCCGCCCGCCCGCCAGCATCTCCAGCGTCAGCAACAGCATCAGTCACACAGCATCAACACTGCTGCCATGACAAATCCAAATCCAGACCAACCCAGCTCGATACTCCAAATCTTCTCGACCATCGTAATTACTAAAGTATTATGCCCACGACAGTAGCTCCAAACATACCAACCCTATGGCCTATGGCCGACGCCCCCTCGGAGCAAGATCCTCAGTCCTCGGCATAGCCCAGCGGCATCGGAGTTAGATTTTTTATTAGTTCTTAATCTCGGAATTGAATAGACCCCATAGGCCATCGACCCCCCTCCTTCGGACTGAAATTTTATACCCAGAGGGAAAAGGGAAGCTCAACGCGCGACCCCACGTCATTTTTTTTGGGGGGCGAGTAGATCTGGAATTATTATTGGGATCAGTCTGAAGTGAATGTGAATATGGAGATTGAATGTGATCGAGTCATAGGTTGTTGAGCATAGCCCCCACGCACATGCTTACCGCTCTACTGTGTATAGCAGTGGAGCTGGAATCATCTGGGCTGGACCTTGAGTCATCAGGGTGGATTTGAGAATTGAGTTAACATGTTACACGCATGTGGATGGCCGGTCCCCACCAACCTTAACAGAGGTTATTATTCATGGATCATAACTTAGCAGTCTTTCACTTTGGGTTGGGGAATAGGGATTCCGAATTAGGATCCCGATCTGGGGGGGGAGGACCTTGGCATACCTATTTGGTAGGCGTGTCGATCATGGGGATAGACTGGATCAACTGGATGGATGGACTGTAGCTGGTAGTGTAGTTACACTGCAACGGTGTGCGGTTACTCTTGTTCGAGGGGTGTACTCTGGCCACATGAGAGTGTTGCTTTGAAGTCAGATAGAAGTATATTGAGTGGGTTGTCAATTGTCTTCTTCTGCTCGGGAGAGGCATGCAATCCATTAGATCTCAATCTACAGCTACAGCTACAGTAGAGCCACTACCACGATCACTGAACCTACTTCCTGCGTATATGTATACTAATAGGCAGCCATAGCATCAGCATCCGCACCAGCAGCAGGCAGACCCCGCTTGCGTTCACTTGTAGCGACGCGACATCCCGACCACCACACGGAATACGAACCCCCATCCACGGTTTGGCTCACAGCCGCATTGGCTCGATACCCACTGACTCAATCCCTTTCGACTCCGATCCCGGGCCCATCACCCCGATGCAGTTCCTCGAAACATCATAGCCTCAGCCAGAGCCTAAACTAGTACGTAGTGTAAACGTGTATGGTGTTCGGGACTGGGCCTTGAGTGCCTCGTGTTTGTTGAGGTCTGCTCCTTCCGCGCCCTTCGCGCCTTGGTATGTATGCACTGGATGCAAAGGGTGCAAAGCAGAGATGGGCTGGTCTGGAGAAGGAGGTTTGTCAGCTTAGTTGTCTGTCTGTATAGATCTATCTTGTGATCAGACTGCACCCTATACAATCTGGGGTTCGTATGTGAACTTAGTACTCCGTAGATACTGAGGAGTCTTCAAGACCTAACATTGATAACCTCAAATCTAGCCCACCCTTCTTATTATTCACTGACTTACCTCCCCAAACTCTACTACGTCTACGTAGTAAGTTAGTAAACACAGCACTGTATGAAAGGGCGTAGACCAAGCATGACACATCCACATCCACATCCCACGCGATCCACGCGCCCAACCCTAGGTACGTTCAACCTTCAATTCCCAAAGCAAAAGCTCAAAGCTCACTCTCCAGTAAAAACAGATAGAAAAAAAAAACAAAAAAAAAACAAAGTATTAAAATCCCCTAAAAAAGAAACTAAACTAAATCAGCACTCCGACCTCCGAAATTCTCGAATTCCTATTCGCGGCTGGCAGGGCTGGGCAGGCTAGCCCAGCCCAGCCGAAACCGATGCTGCAACTTAGAGTGCAGGTGCTCGGGTTTATTCCGGTGCTCGGAGTAGATTCTTTGTTTTCTGCCTGGGGGGGAGTTCGGATTAGGCGTTGTATGACAGGGTCCATTCACACTGGAGTATACTACGTATTCCGTGAGGTGGGTGATTCATCGGTGTCAGGAATAGAATTTTTGGGATGGGCGTTGGGGACCGTGGGGGTACATAATGTACATACTGTATAGAGGTTGACAATTGTATATAAGGAATGTGATGGCCCTGTTGGTTTTGGGTATACTTTTTTGTTTATCTACATCTACATCTACATCTACATCTACATCTACATTCGATTACATTCTGGTATACTCAATTTCTCTGAACCCTTCATCGAAGAGACATTTCAGCTGTTACTCAGTTACTACTATTGCTATCGTTCTATTCTTCCCTCTGGGGTCTCATATCGACTATACTATACTATACTATACCTTTTCCTATACACCACCCCAGCTGGTATACAACCACCACCAACAAAAACCATACAAACAAACCAAAAACAATCAAAATGCCCTCCCCAACCACAATGACCACAATGACCTCACCCACAACCCCCTCCCTCAAATCCACCACCACCACCACCTCCACCATCCACCCCGACCACGACGACGCCGCCTCCACCTCCAGCGTCTCCTCCACCGCCTCCACCCTCCGCTCCCTGAAGACGAAATACCTGGCCAAGATCAAGTCCGCGACGCCGGACGCCGACTCCAAGGATCACGACAGCACCGCAGCCACAAAGACAACGACGAAGAAGGAGAAGAAAACGGTCCAGCACACGCCCACGAAAGCCAGCAGCGCCAGCCCCCCCGTCAGGAAGGTCGATTATGAGACGTTGGGGACGTATCTTGCTCTGCGGTGATTCCCTACGTTTCTGGGATGAGTTGGGGAACGGGAAAGGGGATACAGTTGGAGTGGATATAAATGCATGCTTTGGGGGCAGTAGTAATGGTATGGGAGGATGATAATGAAGGACTTTGGAAGGAACAAAACGGAGATTTATGTGATATGATGACCAGTATATATCTTTTGTGACTTTTTTTCTGGCGTGATGTTCGTTTCTTCTTTCTTTTGTGGAATATTGTCTGGAATAATGGTTGACTACCCGGCTGATTATAAGATATTATGGTGTTTGCAAGAATCAACTAGATATTCGTTCGGTTGGGATGATGGAAAATTACATACAATCTTTTCTGGCCATAATCTTGTCTTTCAAAGCAGTGATGCCCTGCTGGGGTTATTATTCTTACCCTTTCTCCACCTGCGGCAGTTCGTGTCTCATCTAAGATCTGAAAAAAAGATATTACCATACTTCATCTGCCCTGGGCTTCGAGCTTCTCACTCTGATTCTCTCCTTGACCTGGAATCTCTTTGCAGTGTGTCGATTGGCGAGATCAGCCTCCTGCAGTCCCACTCCCAAACGCTGTGTTGAACAGACACAAATGTCATCGGCATTCTTTCTTCAGGACGAGGATGGCGTAATCATCCAGACTGTCACCGACTGACTGGCTCGGATTTGCTGTCATGAACATGGCCTCTTGCTTTCTTGCTGCCTGCTGCTGCTGCTGCTGCTGCTGCTGCCTGCTGCCTTCGCCACGCCAGCTGGAAAGGGATTACGTCTCGGGTTAACAAACCCCACGCAGATACCTGCGAGTTCTTCGCTTGCGAAACACCGTAGTGCTATCAAACCCAAAACCCTTTACCAGTTCACATCACTGAGCTGGAGCTTCCGGGACCGGAACGCCATCCGGTTACTGCCCGACTTGTCGACTCGGGTATCGCGGTGGGGAGAGCGTTTCTCGGCAGCCGAGTCTAAGAAAATTAGCATCGTATCACCAATCACTAACAAAAAACACACCTTCGGAATTGGCATCGACTTCGTTCGTCATCTCGTAGTTCAGCACCAGACTCTTGATCCGCTGTTGCTCCTCCCGGTCCGCCTGCTGCTGGCTTCGCATCGCGACCGCGAAGCTGGAATCGGACGGCAGATCAATGGTGCGAGTCTGTGCCGTTAGCATGGTTCTACATCCGAGAAAAGAAAAAAAACACACCTGCTGCTTGTTGCCCTTCTTCGTCATCAGCGAGAACGCCATCGTGTTGGTGGTGGGCTTGGGAGGCTCCGCCACGTTCACGTTCTCCGCCGCCGCCTCGCGACCGGACCGCTTCATCGGCAACGGAATGTCGAACACGCCCTTGCGCTCGAACTTCCTCGACTCCATGCTCTCGGACATCATCTTCTCGAACTCGCGATCAAAGTCTGCCTCGGCCTCCGGGTCACGCTCCTCTTCCTGCCGCGTGACGAAGATCTGCTCATCCTCCGACTCGCTCTCACCGGTGTTCTCGGCGTTGGGACCAGACGCCTAGACATGTTAGCACACGATCGGATACCACACCGACAGAAAAACTTACCTCGGCTTCATCGCTGGACTCTTGGTCATCTTCTGCCTCAGGAATTGCATCCTCTTCCAGATCATCGTCCGAAGAACTGCTCTCGGCTTCCTCCTCCTCAATGTCCACAGGGCGTTCGGAATCCTGCAGCTTATAATTCTGCGCAACTGCCTCGCTGAAAACTTGTGTAGCTTCCGTAAGGTCAGCCGCCAGCTTCCATTGCGGACGAGCCATCGAGTAGGTGTCCTGAACGAGGAACTCAACGTCCATCGGCATCGGATCTTTTGTATGCATATAGTACTGCTCGAATTAGTGTCCAGCTCGGATCCATAGAGAACAGAGCATCGTACCTGGAAGAAGTTGAGGAAGAAATCGAGCTTTTTCTTCGCGGACCCGCGGTCAAAGCAGTGGCCGCACGTGTCGAGCAGCGTGCAGACCAGACGAATGCGGAAAAAGTCATCAGGCAAGTCCAGCGGATTGACCTTCCCAGCTACTGGCGTTCCTCCTTCTGAGGACACGTTAGTGATTCTCCTTTGATCGACCATGAATACAACTCACCGTGACCGAAGGTGACAATGCGATACAAGGTATCGAAGATGACAGGCGAATCGATCATCTTGTAATTGTAGAGTTCTCCAAGATACTTGACTTCCGCGACTCGCTTCTGGTTGAACTTGAAGTCATTTTGCTCGAGACCCAGCGTGATCTGCTCGAGGACATTGTCCACAACCCCAATCACGAACTCCTGGTGATACCGATAGAGGGCGCTGACCAGGATCGCGAGCAAGTGGATGTTTCCATACTTGACCTTGACCGGTTTGCTGAAGACCTTCTCCAGGATGTCGACCACTTCACCTTCTTCCCAGTGTAGCTTGCGAATTGATTTCAGAATCTTAGTGTAGTTCCGCTTGTTCATGTCCAGATATACGATCCGGCGGATGTAGGCTTCCATAGGTGTACGTTCCTTCTGCTGAATGGCAGGCCGGGGTGGCGGATCAACGTAGTAAATGGCGTTCTCGATAATCATCCGCTCCTGTTGACCAAGGTGTTGAACAGTCTTCTTTCGTCCCAGGGTCTCCAGGAAAGAGGCCATCCTCGGAGCTGTCTCCGGGTTGCGGAGTAAGTAACGACCGCAGTTCTCCAGCAGATAACCGATGATCTCGATGTTCATGCGCGAGAAGTCATCCAACGAGACCTTGAAGCAATGGAAGATGATATGCTCAGGCACCACGCCGAACTTGGTCAACTCCGCCAGGTACCGGACATTGCCCATGCGAACCTGCCCTAGGAACTCCTTCGACTTCCGGCGTTGGAGACTCCTGAACTCCTCATCAAGATACGTGGTCAAGCCCTGGGGAATGTCAGGCATATATTGCCCTAGCGTAGCGACCAGGCGAGAGTACAGCGGCAGAAGATCGAGACGTCCCTTGGGAACATCAGACACAGCCTTGATGAGCCTGTTGCGCGACGCTTTCGAATTAAGGAAGCAGAAATCCAGGGCCATCTGATCCACGTGGTCCTTGGTCTGTAGGTCGGGTAATTTGGCCAGGAGCGCATCCACCTGGGCTCCCACAGTCTTGCTTGCAATGGCTGTCGATTGATCGTCGGCATCCGCATTCTTCTCCTCCGATACTTGAGTCTGAGCGGCGGACTCGGATTTCTCTGCGCCGGCCTCTTCGCCATCCCCTTTCTTCTTAGCTGGCTCCTCAGAATCGGGTTTCTTCTTCCTAGCATCCTCCAGCAGAACAGCTGGCACTTTGCCCTTGAGGTCAACCAGGTTCTCGTAGAAGCGCCGCTCTTCTTCATCTTCCCAGATGCCGGCACCCTCACCCTGACCGCGCAGGTACTCCGTCGTCTTGACCAGTCCAATTCCTCCAGCCGATGCCGCATCGGGGTTTTCCTTCTCAGCTAGAGCCGGCATTTCCGCCCCGAGCGCCTCGCAAAGAACTTGAGTGTTGGCAACCAGTTTCTCCAGCGACTTGGTCTGCTTCTCGAAATTGGCCTGACGGTCCTCGAAGATCTCGCCACTCTTCACGTACGCCTCTGCATTGCGCCGGCTCTGAGCCGCCAATGACCTCTGATCACGGACAACATGCGCCTTGACGTCCTCCAGGTACCGGTTCAGGATATGGCGGAAACGCAGCTGGAGTTTCTCCGGAATCAGAGGGGGGTCGTTCTCTTCCGCCTCGCCCTCAGCACCCCCGCCAATGACCGCATCCCCCGAGGCGCCATTCGTGGTGGTCGTCGCGCCGTCCGCTTCAACCGTCTTCCGGCCTTCCTCCACCAACCTGGTCCCCAGCACATCCCAACTGAAGCTCTTCACAAACAGGACCGCCAGGGGGAGATTCAAGTGATCGCGATCATGGCCCAGGAGATCCTTGAGCACTTCCATGGGAAACGGCTCCGACTCCTTGTCACCGCCGCCGTCCCTGGTCGCCGAGAGCGGCGTCTTGTTGCTCTTCACGGGCCCGTCGGTCGCCTTCCCGATGACGCCAGCATCTTTCCCCTTGGCCGCCGCGGCCCCGAGGTCATCCGGGCGGTCGATGTCGTCCAGGGTGCGCAGCACGCCCACCAGCCAGAGCTCCGTGACGACGCGCAGCAGCACCCGGTGGCGCGACAGGCGCTCCTTCTCCTCGCGCTCGCGCACCTCCTGGCTCAGGGCCTTGAGCTGCCCTTTGTCCGGGGTGCTCAGCCCGCGGCCCAGCAGCCATCCGATCTGGCGGGTGAACTCGCCGGGGCCGAACCGTTGGTGCAGGGCGCTGGCGATCTCGACCCCCGTGGCGATCTCGCCGGGCGACTTGAGCTTGCAGAGTCCTTCGTAGCAGGCCGAGATGATCTCCGACAGGTACTTGTGGAGCGATAGGGTGCGGATGTCGGCGAGAAAGGTGGCCTGGGCGGCTGCGTTGATGCCCGTGCGGAGGCGCTTGATGAAGGCGGTGTTTTTCTTGAGGGCGGAATCGAGGGATTTGCTGACGGGGAAGACATCTGTTGTGTTGCAGCGAAGGAATTAGTTATAGGAATACCTCCGGGAAGCTGGGAAAGTGCGTGGTGTATGGTTTTGTGTTTGTGCAGGGGGAAAGTGAAAAAGAAGCCGGAAGGAGGGCGTGGTGCGTCATTGTCGGAGGAGGGAAAAGGGCATGATTTTACCAGTCTCGCCAGCCCAGGCTCGCTCGTTCAGATCGCGGAGTTCCCCTGTAGGTAAACGAGGTAGGTTAGCTGGTCGTATCTAAAGGGAGAAACGCTGTTCTGGTGAGGTTTACGCTTTCGGTGACGATCCATGGCGTGGCCGCCGGTGCGATGTTCTCAGTTTATGGTGGGTGGGATGGATGGATTTCAACTATCCAGAATTCCTTTCAGCGAGTGGGAAAGGAGGGCGCATAAGTGACTTGAACGCCACATTGGGGAGAATGAGAGGGAGAAAGTGACGCGCGCACTATTTTGGGGCGTCAAGGGAGAAATGAAAGATTGCAAAGTTGAGAGTGGCTGACGAAAGTTGCAGTGAGTGACGGACCGAAGGCGGAGGAGGAGGAGAAGGAGGGCGGAGGGGAAGGAAGGAAAAGCGGCTTGGATGATCGTCTTTCTCTTTCTCCACTCACAGAGATCACTGGAGCGGACTACGGAGTATACAACAACCAATTCTTACTACTTTCTCTGCACATAACTTCATTGTTTTTCTTTATCATAATCATTCAAGTCAGATAATCCATGACAGTGATCATACTCCTATGAATTAAAGTTAACCTCCCCCCGCCAGCGAAATCATCCTGCAATGGTGCCCCGTATTTTTCCCCGCATCAGCAGCCAGTTTAGCACAGATTCATGGAAGCAATTAACCAGTATACAGCAGATACAGCAGATGCAGCAGATGCAGCAGACTTTTGACTAAACTAACCGCTGCAATCTCCTCTCCCCTATCCACCTGCATCGTGTGAACTAATCATAAAGCCCGTCCATCCGCCAGAACCATTTCCTCACGCGATTCCATCGCTCAACCATCATCATCAAAAACATCATGATAATCATAAAACAACACCATGACCACCAGCTATCATAATCACTGTTTGCCCATTCCCTTCACCACCCGATCCAACCTCCACGAACCCGATTAGTGAACCCCCGCCGGCGCCTCCGAGAATCCGGGCCTGTCTCCCTCCTCATCCTCCAAATCCAACAACCGAGTCTGCAGCTCATGCTTCTGGTCCTCGTTACTCCAGCTCTGCTGGCGAACCACGGGCGGCTTCCAGGGTTTGTCTGCCCTTGTGCTCGTGGGACCCGCGGCTGCACCTAGATCAGCCCCGTAGGAGGAGGCGATACCGGAGTGGTCGGCTGAACTGTCTGTTGGGAGCTGGATGACGTCTGAGTCGGGACGGTTGGTTGGGGATTTGTTGATGGACATTTTATGGTGGTCTTTGTCCGTGTGTAGTTGTTCAATGGGGATGCGGTAGGAGATGTCAAGGGAGGTAGGTAATTGTAGATGTGGAACGTTGTGGTCGGGTAATTCTCTTTGATAGGTGTGTTGGAAGTGAGCTGAGTGTAGTTGAGGGGACTGGGGCGAGTTTGGAATACTTAAAAGAGGGAGGAGAGAGAGGGTTGCGCTTTTATGCAATGACAACACCACACTTCGGAATGACGTCTCCTGCGTGGCGGTGGCTTTGCTTCTTTTGTGAGACGATAAGAGAGACAAGGCGACGGCAAGAACGTTGTCGACCAGAAGGAAAGTTCTGGGATCGTTGAGAAGGGCAGCAGAGCAGACAAAAGAGGGGGGAGGAAATCAACGTCACTTCCCGGTCTACAATGAGGGGAAGTATCACAGAAAGAGAGGAGGTACGGGGAGGTACGCGAAGCTACTCTATGGATCACCTTATTTTCACCACTAGAGCTTGTACTGTACTTACTCTCTCCAATGTTCGTATCGCCACATTATGCAATTAGTTCATTCAATTAATCCTCACGCAAACCTTCGAAAAATGCCTCTGCTCATCCATATACCGATAAGCCTCCTCGACCTCCTCAAACCCAAATATCCTCTCATCGATCGCCGGCTGGATCCGATGTTCCTCAATGAACCGATTCATCTCCTCAAACTGCTGTCTTGTGCCTAGCAGAACTCCTCTTACCGTACACAAGTGCACAAGACAGTCGATCAGAGTATTGACATTCGAGTCTGGGGCACCTCCCAGCAAACCTGCCATGGCAATCACCCCCTCCGGCCGCACGGCCTTCAGCGACTGTCTCGCAGTCGACAACCCACCCACGTCGACCACGAGATGCACACCCTTACCGTCTGGCGTCAACTGCCGCGCAGACTCTCCCCACTTGGGGTTACGCCGGTAGTTGAGCACATGGTGCGCGCCGAGAGCCTGGAGGCGTTGTGCTTTAGTGTCGGAGCTGGTCGTGGCGATGACGGTGGCACCTGCTGCCAATGCGAACTATATAGCATTGAGGGTCAATTCATCGAGCGGCCCAGAGAACAGACAAGCAATGAGCAGACTAAAACACGAGGGGAAAGACAGTACCTGCAGAGCAATGACCGATACCCCACCTGTCCCCTGTACCAACACGACATCCCCCTTCTTCGGTGCGCGCGACGATAGCCCGAACAGCGCATTCCAGGCTGTCAACGCCGCGCACGTCAACGTACTTGCTTCCACAAACGACAGACTGGACGGCATCTTCACCAGCGCCGTCTGGTGGAACACGGCGTATGGACGCAGCGTCCCGTCTACCTGCTGACCCAGCCCACTGCCGATGTCTGCGAAAGTGACCGGCTCGGATTCAGGCTTGTGCGGCACCATGTATGTGCAGACTCGGTCCCCAGGTTGAAAGTCCTGCACTTGGGGCCCGACACTTTCGACGATGCCGGCGCCGTCGGATGCAGCTACCACATTGGGATTGATGATGAGGGAATGGGCGCCCTGAGCGGTCGGAAAGAATTCAGCTACCAATTGTCTGATGGCAGAGAGGAAGAATAAACCATATAAGGTGAAGGACAGTGCATACCTTGGCGATGGCTAGGTCTCGGTGATTGAGCGACGCTGCGTGAATGCGCACCAAGACGTCATGGGCACCCAAGGAAGGGACGGATTTATCATCGATGAGTCTGAGACTTGAGAGACCTTGCTGGCCTTCAAGGATCCAGGCCCGGGAGGCGTGCATTCTGGCTTTCGAGTATGTTTCGGAATGTGACTCGGGAAGCAGTACGCAGTCAACTGGACTCGAGAGATACGACGACTCTCATAAACGAGGGGGGGCCCGCATAAAACATCTTTGCAGCCATTGGATTCGAGGGACCAAATCAGGAGGAACCTGGATTCAAATGGAAGCTGGCGGCTGGCTGCACATTTTCGAGTCTGCCATTGCCATGATGTGGGGACCTTGAATCATGCTGATGTGCCGGGAAGCCAACACCAAAATGGCTGCACGACTCAATGGATTCCATGTGCCGAAGTCTAGAGCCAGAATTGACCAATCCGAGGACGGGCAGTGGAGAAAGTAACTTACCGTTGACCCCCCGGCCAACATCTTCAGCTTCAATCCGTTCCGTCTTCTGTTCTCCATGTCAACAACCGTACCTGGCACAACGTCGCGGCCCCTCAACTATATCAGGACCTACGCATCAAGTTCCATGATCTGGCAAGCTTGCAACATGATCTCTCCGAGTTCCATACCGATGGTCTTGGGCGGCAATACCTGCCCTATGCCCGCAGTCTCGATCTTGTTTGTCTAGCGAAACCATCGTGGATAGATACTCCAAAAGCCGAAGATCTCTGGAAGCAGAAGAACTGGTACAGCGGATTTATCAGCTTCAAGCCGCGAGCTGTGGAGGACGGCTTTCTCTCCAAGAGTCTAACTGAATTACATGACAAGGATCTCCTCTTTCTCCTGGAGACGGTTGATGGGTACCCACAAAACGAGTGGGAACCTATCCTCGCTCTGATCGGGCGGCTCCAGCATCTTAGCGCTTTTAACTATGTGGTAGTGAACACATTCCCCACGGTCATCCTCAACGCACTGCAACAGTCCCATCCCACTTGTCGCCTGAACATCTGGACCTCCCAATGCCCTTCTATCGATATTGATGGTCTAGGACGCTCCTGTAAGCTGGTGAGGAAGGAGGCTCGAAGTCCATTTGATCTCCGCATCCTACGCGCGCCGACACTCCACACGCTGAAGGTAGTTTACACGATGGGGTTACATCCACGAGAACGGCGATGGATACACCTCGACGAGCCCATGCCACTCATCTTCACCGCCCCCAATTTAAAGCATTTGATCATCGACGACAAACGCGAAGGCCGTGACAATCCAATCGAGATAGTAAAAGAGGAGTGGGAAGACTTCATCTCCTTCTACAGCAAGCTTGTCCCAGTTGCCCCGGCCACCCATTCCCTCGAGTCCCTGAGTTTCCGAAGTGACGGTGCCGGGTTGGCTCAGGAGCAGATCCTACTGCGCGTCTCCACCATGACCGACCTATCTCGACTACGGTCGCTAGAGATCGGGGTCTATTCGGAGCCAGAGCTGTTGGCGCAAGCCGCTGCGCGATTGACCGGACTAGAACGGCTGTACATCAAGATGGTCCCGCGGGCCAATGGGCTCCGTCGTGGGATTGCTCCAGACCGCGAAGAGATGATTGCCGCCGTGCGGGCTTTTCGCCCGTTAAAATACCTCCGCTTAATCAGCCTGCGGAGCTTCTCATCTCTCGATCGGTTTGTCTCGCACCACGGCCGGGCACTGAAAGGGCTGAGCCTGGAGGCCTCGTACCGCCAACGAGAGCAACCTGACGAAGAGGGTCACAAGTACCCCGTCAATGACGGCGAGCAGCTCCGGTACCTGGCTCGACTCTGCCCCGAGCTGGAAGAGCTCCATCTCACGCTGCTGCGCACGGGTGGCGATGCCCGCGAGTGCGATCTGTACCGGGCCATCGGCCAGTGGAGCCACCTCCGTCAGGTCGTTCTTGACTTGGACTGCGATCCGCGGAATGCTGGGGTGGCCGATGAAAGAGACGTTCTGAGTGACCTCACGTGTCTTCGGGAGATCCTCCATAACGCTGCCATCGACGAGGCGCTTGCCGCAGGCATCTTCAAGCTCATGTGTTCCGGCCAAGCAAACAAATCGCTCAAGCAGCTCCGCATCAATCTCTTGTCGCTTGGGATTATCTTTCCCCAGTCACTGGTCAACGTCCTCCGGCAAATTAGTCAGTCGTTCCTTGTCACCCGGGTTGCGTTACCACCAACTGCGGAACTGCAGGTCCAGGCGGTTGGGACCGTCGCGTGGCAGCTGTGGCATGAATGGGTTCTCGTTGACGACCCGTCCGTGCGGACTCCGACGCCGGTCCAACAGATACTGGAGGAGTGGTGGCCGCTTGACTCGGATCGAAATCGCAGTAAGAGCTGGGAGGAGATACCGCTGCTGGTCAAGAGTTTTCCTTTGGAGGCCGATATTGCAGCAGAAGGAGAAGCATCGGAGACGCGAGCGGCTGAGTAGAAATTATCATTAGATCGTTTTGTACAGGACCTAGTCGTCTTGTGACGGAGGCTTGGATGCCTCTCATTAATCTAATATATCGCTAGACTCTGTGTCTACTACTTTCAACTGGACAGCCTCAATATCGCCATCATCAAGTCGAGCAATGGGCCCTTTTGCTTGATCAATTACCTTCCTTCTGGATGTCTTTCACAACTCTATCTGTTCAGAGATGTGTGTGATCTCTTCTTCACTCTGGGAGAATAAATCCTTTTCCATCGGCGAGCGTAGACCACTGCATATATCTCGTCTCCTCACCAAGCCGGCCAACCACCATGGCATCCAACCAATGCGTTTCAATCACCACCAGACAATTCCCACGAACCGACCTTGTATTCCATTTATATCTTTTTCCTGGTAAAAGGAGATGGTACCTGACGGATTAACCTCGGATCTGCCGGTGCTCGATATGTAGATTTTCTCTCATTTGTCATTGCCCACATTGGTGCGTTGACTGCCTTTGTGTGTTTCTTTTCTTTCCTCTCCTTGCCTTTTCTTCTTTTTCTCGGGATCAATCAAACAAGAAGAGCTTAGTCAAGAATCCTCAAATATAGGATTATCGAGCCAAGTCTCTATTTGAACTAGAAATGGGTACACTGTGGACTAGCGCTGTCGTTACCACCTACCGTCTAAAACACGGGGGTGAAAGACAGTACATAACTTACCTTCCCTGCAGAGCAACAACCGAAACCCCACCTGTCCCCTGTACCCAACGCCATAACCCCCCTTCTTCGGTGCGCGCGCGATCACAGCCCGAAACAGCCAAAGGAAGAAGGGGGTTCATCATCGATGGGACTGAGACCTGGGAGATCGTTTGCCCCAGCGTGCAGCAGGTTGGCCTACCCCAGTAACGCAACGGTCCTTCTCTATCTCTTCGAACCCCAAACGTACCTAGGCAGATCTACCAGAAGAGCGCCACCTTTCCGGAGCAACCTAACACGAACGTCCAACTCCATTTCACTAGGCTTCCTGCGAAGAAATATCAGATGACGTTCGTGTGGATTTTCTATGGTAAGGGCGCAAAGGGATCGCTGTCCTTTACCAAAAGTAGACATGGCTAATTGAAACCAACACAACGCGACTCACCATCGCTCGCGTTGGGGTACAGTACAACGGCATAATCTGTAAGACAAAGCTCGTCTTAGGGCTACGACAGCATCCGCACCCGCAGAAACACGATATCTTTGAGCAAGGATGGAGATGGGAAAGGAACGCTGTGGTCGAACTGGTCGCATAGACCCCAACCCCAGTCAGGCACCGGGTGCCGCGGGGAGACGACCCCTCAAATTGCAAAGGGTTAATCTAGACTCACTTCTCTCACGGCCGAAAATGCCAAGTTGGTGAGTTGTTGAGTTGAAGAATCCAGAGTTGTGAGAATTGCGCACGGAGATTCCAGGGTGGTGGTTGGTGGTTGGTGGTCGGGGGGTAGTTAGTCTGGGACAGGAAAGGGAAGACTCATGCAGTACTAGGTACCCCCTAGGTAGGTGGCCAGGTAGCCTAGGTGGTTTGATTTTAGCAACAATATGCTACCGGGCATTCTCCAAGAAAAAAAAAAGAAAGAAAGAAAGAAAAAGTCTTGCATCAAGCTTAATCTACCTTAACCTTCGACTTTCCAGAATAAAACCCAGAAACCTGAAGACGGACCCCCAACGGCCGAAAATCAAGGTTGATGCACGCACGTGGTGCTGTACCGTGCATGAGGTGCCCCAGTAATACCTATAGTAAGTTAGTATAAGCACCCTCCAGCCAATAAGAATGAAGAATATATGGACAGTCCCAAATAGCACCGTCCTATTGGTCGGGTTGCAACTATACCGGCCTTGTCAAAATTGAATTGGAACACAACACACCAACAACTGAATCAATCTTGCATTAACTATTGTACGTATTCTGCTCCTGTCAATAGACCCTTATTGACATTGGTATCTAGGTTACTATGTATCAATAGTACTAAGTTTGAAGCAAACCTGGTTTACTAAACTACTGAGTCGTAAGCTACATACCAGTTATACGGAAATGATACTTTACTGTAATCGCTATGTCACTCTTCTCCCCTTCTTGCTTTTCCTTCCTTTTAGATTAGACTTGTTAATGAACATGCTATACACGCCCACATTTTACTGATGCTCTCCCCATTGAACAAGCCACCAGCTAAGTACTAGTCCTCCCTCCCTCCGGATCACACGTCTCGGACGGCCTTTATCTACTTTAACATCTGCAAACCCAGAGCCCTTGCGGAGCTACATCGAGCCCCAAGTTGCTATCATACAAGTGACGAGAGCTTATTTTGTCTAAATTGATTACGGTAAGGAGACACATAACCCCAGATCTACACGAATCCCCATCTCAATACACAACACCCAAGCCTCATTATCAACTAAGCTTTTGTTCCATAGAAACCTTTAATGTAACATACAAGTCATCAGAGGATAGCATGGTGTCTGGATGCGAACAAAAAAGAGACAGAACCACACCACAGAGAACGTTGACGTTGCCAAAACAATGGAAAGACCGTTTGAATCCTGACGTCTCAAAAAGTCATCCATCCATCACAAGAACCACACAGGCTATTCCTCAACGGTTGGGCGGGACCATCAACATCCACACACAGCACCAAACAGAAGACAAAGGAAAAGAAAGAAAAAGAAAAACCGCCGTCATCATACACCTTCATCAAACATAAAATAAACAGGGTATGCCCACGCCAACGCTATGCGAGTCCTTGTACAGAAACAAAAAAACAGGGGGAAGAGGGTGGGGGGAAAGAAGCAGAGCAAGATATGTACCAGGAAATCAAAGAAGGAAAGTATTCTTAGATAATGTATGATTCTTTCTTATTTATTTCGGCTTGCGCCAGAAGTATTGCTAGAGAGGATCAGTCAGCTGGGGTCGCTTTCAATCAATTGCAAGGGTCATCCATACCTTGTGCTGCTTGCGGCAATTCCGGAGGCCGGGTTTCCGGAGATCATGAACCACGGCCTCCCGTCGCATATCGTCCTCATCAAAGTCCGGGATATAGTAGTATTCACTCTCCAGAGCCTTCCCCGCGGCATCCTTTCCCTCACGAGCAACTTTGCCAATGCACTTCGTGGTGTCCAGAATCGCACGGATCTCTTCTCTCGTAGGTCCCTGTCTCGAGTGACTGTCCCGCTTCCATAGGGCTGGAGGGAGGTTGTTGAGAATGGTAGAGAAGGGCGTCGAGGAAAGACGGGAGAAGGCCAGCTGGTTGACAGCGTGGTTCTGAACGCGTTCACCGCTTTCATCAAGCGGCTGTGGCTTGACCGGTGTGGCCTCCTCCCCATTACCGTCATCGGCAGCGGACTCTACGGTCTTGGTTGGTTGTTTCGGGGATTTGGCGTGCTCAAGGCCCTGGGACGAGAGCTGATTGCGTGGACGAGCAGGTTGCAGTGGGGACTCGTCCGCTGTGAAAGATGCCATCCGGGGTAGGAGGTTCTCGCCGAACGGTCCAAAAGAATGAATGATAGGGTCATTCTCCTCGTCGTGATCCGAAAAGTCATCATGTCTACTCAGGTCGCTCAGATCACTCGACTGTGAGCTCTGCAGGAGGTCCTCCACACTGGAAGACGACGTCTGGGTATCATCGGCAAGCAACGACCCGGGGGATACGGGGCGGCGAACAGGCGAGCCCTCATCTTCGTACACAACCACAGCGTTCCGCGAGCGTGTCGGGGTATACAGAGGGGAGGATGGCGGCACCAGAGCCTTTACGGCAGGCGAGGGTGAGACCGGGGATGCCAGACGTTGGCGTTCGACCGCAGGGCTGTCATGAATACTCCGAATTGATTGTCCCTTGCGTTGTTTAGGCGTGGTTTCCTCTTCCCAGGTCTGCTCCGAATCGGTGGAGGTATAGTCCTTCTTATCATTCCGAGGCCACTGGACGAGCACGCGAGCCTCGTGGACGTCGATCATGATGTCAGCGTCCTTGATATCCGAGGTGAAAGTCTTGCCCTTGCCCAAGTCGTAGGTTTTCCCCTGGCAGTGTAACTTGATTCCGTTCCAACCTAGACACATAATCTCCACCGTATCACGGTCGAACGGGTTAGGGGCCGGCTTATATCGGGCTTTGACATGGACCCTTGAAATCATCCGGTTGGCCGCAAGTTGGTGATGGCACGAGGCACTGGATCTACCCATCAAGACTGGTTCACCACTCTCCGGCAGCATCAATTCGGGGACGGTAGACAGAGGGGTCCGTTCCGAGGTCGATGTAAATGTACGTCGAGAGGCCGGACGCGGCAGAGCCATTCGGGGAGGGGAGGAGGACATGATATGGGTCGACGAGGTCGGGACCGGAGTGGGATAGGTGGAAACGATGCCATGGTCTTCGCGTGCTACACGCTTCTGTGGTCGGGGCAGCGACGGGGACGAGCTCAATGGCTCGAAAGCAGGCAATAGGGCCGCCGGACGCTTGATACCTGCCACAGGAGCAGCCGTACTGCCCCTTGGCGGCGAAGACTCCATGCTGACAGACTTGTCCTTCGCGTCGTACACGTCTGGGACGAAGCTAAAGTAATTAAGATTATGTCACTCGAGAAGCTGCAGAGGGATTGAGTTAAAGATCCCACAGATCAATTGGAGACCTATCTGGTCGCGTCGAGGACGAGTAGGAGGAAGAGGAGGGAGAGAGGGGGGAGTCTCTATGTTCTATAGGAGTGGAAGATAGCGATTGGGAGGTGACGAGATGGTTTCGTGCAGACCAGACCAGAAGGAGAGTAGTTGACTAGACGCGGAGACAGAAGCGTGTCAAGGACGGGCAAAGGAAGGGAAGGAGCACTGAGGGTTCATCTGCCCCAAGACGAAAGGGTCCAGGAGGCTGGTCGGGCTTCGAGGAGGGAGGAGGAGGAGGAGGAGGAGGAGGAGG